TGTAATGTGGATGTTTAATAATTTGATTGTGTTGTAAATTACGTTTTTATATATACGAATTATATTATTAATTATATTAATAATATAATTCGTATATATAAAAATAAATATAATATAGTAAATATTGTATGTCATTATAAACATTTTATATAATGTTAAGTTTAAATGTAAATGCTATCATTATCTAATAATGCCGATAATTAAGATATTTAATAAAGCTAAATTATACATTAGAACATAAATAATTTCTTACTTTTTTTAAATTATAGTTTATATATACATATATTCGATTTGATAAAATATTGTCATTTATCAATTTAAGCAATAAAAGACGTACTTATTTTGGAGCATTTTTGTGCAAATTTGCAACTGATATCGATTTATTTGATAGAGATAGCATCATTGTAATTTATATTCTACATCTATACTATGTATATAATCAATATATTGTAATTTATATATTGTAATAATTTATATATATTGTGTATATATATATATATATATATATATATATATATATACATTGCAATTTATATATTGTAATGATACAATATTGTAATATTATAATAACGTAACATTATAATAATATTGTTATCTATATTATCTCTAAATACTATAATTACATATTGTAAATTATATTAATTGCACGAAATTGAAAAAAATGCACATAATACATAACGCAAAGTTTACAAAATTAATATATATCCAATAAATACTCGTTGTCTGTTAGACATTTTATTTTAAAATTATTCTAGAATTTAATAGTCTGTTTTTGATACTAAAGTTAATAAATATGGAAAATTTTTATTTCCAAGTTTCGTAGTTTCAATTATCTTTTTAATTATTATAATGCGTAACATAAAAATGATTAAATAATGTATGTGATTTGATATTAAGCCAACAATGCAATATTAATTTCTCACTCGCGAAATTTAATAATTGCTCTTTCGATAATGCAAAATCGCAATTTGACAAAATTATTTAGAAGTTCGGGATTTTGTCAATTAAATATATTCGTGAATTTGCAAATTGAAATTAAATATTTGTTAAGTAAATAAATAATATTTGTTAAATAAATGTATAATTAATATTAAAAACATCGCGTTTTTTTTCGTCTTTTTGGTTTAAGGCGCGATTGCTATCTTATTGTCTTTCGTATAAATACTAACGCGGTTCGTACTATCGAGAAATGGTCTTTAATGCAGAAATATAATTTCTCGTCGGTTCTTGAACAATTAATCTACAACGAATTCAATGCCTCGTTGAAAATTAACGGTTTTCTTTGCAGAGCTGGAATTAAATCCAGGTTTTTTCGACAGTTCCTGGAAGCAATGGTTTTAATAATGAGTTAAACGACAAATTTTTTTAAAGTCGTATCACGAGATTATAATTAAATAATATACTTTGAATAAAGAATTTTTTCTTTTTTTATTAAATCTTCTTCTGTTATTATTATTCTTAATATTAATATCGGTTTCAAAATTTTTTATCGCTTCGGAAAAGACTTATTGTTAGTAGTAAAGCATTGAGCATGGATATAGCTATTATATAGAGATAAATATTAATTTATCAAATAGGTATAAATATAAATTGTAATTTATTTGCTCATCTCTGAACTTTTTTTAACAAAATATATGGTTACGAACGAATTTGTTTCATTAATTGATTTTTAATTAACTTTACTTTTGATCTCTTTTGAGAGATCATTTCTAGGTGTTGGACATCCTGCCATTTTATGCCATTAATATTAATTTTTAAGTATAATTCGCTTGATATTTTATATAGAAAATTTGTTAGATATTTTACATGCAGGAAATATATGCGCAAAATGTGATACATTTGATAAAACTTTTTTTTTGTTAATATTATATTAATACACACAAATATACATGAAATGTACAAGTACTAAAAAATTCGAGGCAAGTCGAATGGGTACCCTGATATCAGTAAGATATCGACATATTAAAATATTATTAAATATATTATAAAAGAATTAATAATTTTTTATTTTACGTCGCGAAATATTAAATACGAAGTTTGTCAAAATCTTGCTATTATTGGGTTCGACTCGTTTCGAACAGTTGGTACCCGAAAATTATTGTACTCGTACATTTAACAAGCGATAAATGCGCATATGTTTCATGATTCTTAAACATACTCGTTTGTAACCATGCACAGTTTCATAAAAAATAGTTATATTATAATAGTTTCATTATTTATTAATAAAAAGACATTTCTAAATAATGGAAGAACATTTTTTCGCGTAAATTTCGATCTTGTGAATGAAAGATGGTGATGATAATTGTCATTGATTCATTGAAATGTTAAAATCATTGCTATTGGGAATGGTCTGGAAGATCTGAGAGTCGTTCCATTTTGCAGCGGAACTCTTGATATTTGACGAGTCGTTTAATTTTCCTTCGCGGATCAATCTCGATAGAATTCTACGTAAAACATACGTTAAAAAATAGTCGCTCTCTACATTTAATATTATTCTTTTTTTACCTGTCGGATACTAACTGACGAAATTATTTTAATCTTTCGAATTGTTATCATCAGATTATCCGCGAGATATTTTCATCTTATATTTAATTGCAATTATAATTTTTTTATTTGATCGTTGGCTTAAAATTTCGCTTATTTTTTCACGTGTCAAATTTTCTTAAAAAATTAAAATGTATCAATATAAATACTTTTCTTTTTGTAATTAAAAGATATAAATGATAAGATATAATAAGATATAATTGATAAGATATAATAATTAATGAAGAAATATAATAGATAATGTAAATGTATTGGCGATTTTTTCATCAACTTTTTTCAGTAACTTATTCATATTACGCAATCCTTAATAAGTTTTGTAATGAAAAGTCGATAATTAATAAATATCACGAATAATTTGAATCGTCTGTTTGAAAATCATTTGATTTAATTTTGAATGAATGTTGTGTGCATTTCAGACATTTTCGTGTAATTTTGTATCATAAGATATTTTGTACTAATTTATAAATATTATAATTATATTTATAAATTATATATTGTAATTATATTATATAAATATTATAAATTCTTATCATAAATATATTGTATATGTTGTAAATACTATTATATATTGTAATAATATTTTATAAACTATTTACATTATAGTTCAATTATTGTATATTTTATATTGAATATGAATTATATATTAATTGTATTAAATACACACAATAGTGTATATATTTTCAATACTTTATAAGTAAAACAATTTTGTAATGTAATAATTTTATAAAATAATATGAAATAATTTATATAATAATTTTATAAAATAATTTTATGAAATAAGACATTTTGTATTAATTTATAAATATTATAATTAATATATTATAATTATATGTAATTATATAAGTATATTATATTTTATAAAATATGTATGTTACTTTCTACAGTTCAATATTATTATTGAATATTATATATTGTATATTTCTCTTTATTTTATGAAATAATATTATATTTATTATATTTAAATAAAATGATTATAATAAAAATTTTACCTCTTCGATGGTATCTCCACCTTAACGAAGGCATTTGCCGGGTGAGGAGGTTTGAGTACTCTAATGATCCGGAGAGCTATGTCGGCGGTAACGTATTTAGATAGTAAAAATAATTATTTTTATGTTATTTTGCCAGTCAAATCGCGTCAAAATGAGATCAAAATGACTATTTTTGCTATCTAAATAGTTACTGGTAAGGTCACCTATGCCGGACAGGTCGAAGGGAAAGAGTGAGACTAAGAGAGATACTGTAGTTATTTAGTAATATTTTTAATAAAAGCTATATATATATATATATATATATATATATATATATATATATATAACGAATTAATCGGAGGAATGCATTCCGATTCATCTTTTCGTTTGGTATATATAAATATTTTAATTCACTATTCGACCGATTGCGTTCCGACTCGCTCTTTTATTCGATATATATAAATATTACACTTAAGTGTGAATCCAAGAAGCAGATTTCGGATGTTCACTGTAAATCAGCCGCTCCTCGGACGATCGGGACGAGATTTAAACGGTAGTGCCGCGAAATGGTGTAGAATTTTATGCAAAAAGAACGAAATCGCTATCACGTCCGGAAGTCGAGATATAAATTGGCCGGTTTTCGTCTGCGAGCGGACGGTCGAAATCATGCACGACGCGCATGTTGCCTGCCTCTCTCGCGCGATATTCACTGTAACGCGGCGAGTAAAATGGCAAGCCGAATGCAATCGTTCGATTAATTAATTAAATATTTATATATATCGAATAAAAAAGCGAGTCGGAATGCAATCAGTCGTATAGTGAATTAAATATTTATATATATCAAACGAAAAGATGAATCGAAATGCATTCGTTCGATTAATTCGTTAAATATTTTTATATATAATATATTTATATTTATATATATATTAAATATTTATAAATATTTATATATATAAATATTTAACGAATTATCGAACGAATGCATTTCGATTCATCTTTTCGTTTGGTATATATAAATATTTAATTCACTATTCGACTGATTGCATTCCGACTCGCTTTTTTATTCGATATATATAAATATTTAATTAATTAATCGAACGATTGCATTCCGATTCATCTTTTCGTTCGATATATGTATATGTATAGAAAAATATTTTTTTCATCTTTGAACATTACACTAGAAGAAGATTACAGGAACATTACACTAGAAGAAGATTACAAGAACATTACACTAGAAGAAGATTACAGGAAGATTACAGTATCTTTCGCAATTGAATAATTTATTTACTAATAATATATATACATAAGTGTCTATATCTTGCTATTATACAGGACTGGTGTTACCGGCATTTCGCGCACATAGCACGGAACAAAACCAGAAATTGTGAACATTATATGTTACCCTCTGAGGACATTCATGGATTTTGGCTTTGTAGTTCATGTCCACGTTTGTAATGTCTACAGAGGGAGTATCGCTTGCAGAAATCTAACCTAAAAGCGGGCCATGACACATGACACCTCTCAGTCTTCTCTTTAGCTGATTTCTCGAGTCTCCTCGAAAGTGATTGTGATTACCGTTACATTCGTGTTCAGTGGGCGGAGAATTGATAGAATCTTATGTTTACAAAAATTTCATAAATTATTACGCCAAGTGACGGATTAATCGATTTCGAAAATGGTATGTGAAATGTATAATTATATGTTTATAATTATGTAAATTACAAATCAATTAATGATAAAAATACAGATAAATATAGAGAGGAATATGCTCCAAAATGTCATCTCGTGCGATTGACATTTCCACTTTAATCAGGTGGTTGATAGACATTTGATAAATTCAAACATATTTGATTATAAGAAATTAATAAATTAGAGAAGCTGTGCCTTTTATCTTTATATTACATAAAGATCACTGTTATTAAATAATGTATAAAATATTATTAATTATCTTATATTCACAATGATATAATAAGAATTGTATTGACAATATCTTATATTTTTATAGATACGTTTTATCCTTATACAAAATAGAGCGGGTAAGACTAGATTAGCAAAATGGTATATGAATTTTGATGATGATGAAAAACAAAAGTTAATAGAAGAAGTTCATGCAGTTGTTACTGTCAGAGATGCAAAACATACAAACTTTGTCGAAGTGAGTTTGACAAGATATCTGTCTGAGAAGACTGTCTTCTTGTATTATATGTGGATTATACAGCTAGTACATATGTACATATATAAAATAAACATATGTTTCAGTTCCGTAATTTTAAGATAGTGTATAGGCGATATGCAGGCTTATATTTCTGCATTTGCGTGGATGTTAATGATAATAATCTCTGTTATTTGGAAGCAATTCATAATTTTGTTGAGGTGTTGAACGAATACTTTCACAATGTATGCGAGTTGGATTTAGTCTTTAATTTTTACAAGGTATCATTCTCTTTGGGTATATTTTTAAGTTAATATCACAAAGTTTTATATATTACTTGATTTAATTATACTATTTATTTTCTAGTATGTATAATGTGATAATTATTTTAGGTGTATACCGTTGTGGATGAAATGTTCTTAGCTGGTGAAATCAGAGAGACAAGTCAAACCAAAGTACTGAAACAACTCTTAATGTTAAATTCTTTAGAATAAACACACTCATTTTTGGCTTTATATATTAACGAATGCTTCATCTGAATATGTATAATATGTCAAAAGTGGATGTCATAATATGTAGATATTATATTGCATAAAATACATGTATAAATATTCTATGTAATGATATAATGATCTTGATGACTTAGATGATTTTCAATAATTATGTATTTTATGTAAACATAATATATAATCTCTATGTGAATTTTATGTTATGATTTGGACAGAAAAATGAAAGAAAAATACCAACATTCAAAATATGACAAACTATTATAGCAATAAAAGACCAAGTAGAAGGAATATATAAAGTATATCCTTTGTTTTAAGCATGTAATAAATCTTGTAAATACGTGATAATATCCATATAAAATGTCTTTTTATTGTTACATACATGTTTCACATTTATATTAAAATAGAAAAATGTTTTTCTCACTATAGGATTACTTATCTCTATAAGAGGCAGATGTAAGATTAAATTAATATAATTTTTTTATATTTATTTTTAAAATCGAAATATATGTACAAAAAGTACTTTCATATATAAGAAATATTATCATTTAATAGAAAAAATTGTAGTATATAATTTATAATTTTTTATATATCTTTGATTTACTTACATTGGCATAATCACGTTAGATTGACACAATATGATCGCAAGAACGAGCAGTATAATTAATATTATAAATTTATCAAGGATATCTCTAATTGATTCAAAAATAGATCACAAAGTTGCTTAAGATCTGTGATGAAGAGGGTAGAAGAGATAATTTATATTATATAAATATATCTTACATAATATACAGTAGAACTCTCTAATCAGACAACTTTGTACAATTACTATATTAAGTCGCGCTTTAGTAAACTCGCGATTGCAGTATGGCTTTCTGTAGCAAAGTACAAAACGTCGTATTCACTTCTTGACACAATAAATTTGTCATTCTGTCGCCTAGAGCTGCCTGTGCCGAACTGACTCTACCAAGTTGAAGCAATAAACCTATGGTATCCTCGGCCAATGGAGGAAATGCTAGGCATATCCGCGTCAACGATGATAATACCGGCATGAAAAGAACGAATCGATCTTTGGCAGATAATACTCCTAATAATGTTATCAAAGTATTGATCGCCAGTCGGCAAACGCTCAAAGCCTTTGGTAAAGCATATTGAATCGCCAGATGCGAAGCCAAGTCAACCGCGAATACTTGTTTTTCCGGTTCAGGCTGCGACAACAATTCCGGGATCCAATCGAGACATATGTGCATAGATGGAATTCCGGAAACCGTTATCGGCAATAATTCCCGTGGATAGCCCTGCGGATAAAAGATATTCGCCTTGATATTGAAGGATAAATTACAAATAATTAATTTTAGTAGAGAAAAAGAGAAAAAGAAAGAGATTTAAATAGTCGCGATTGAGATATAAAATAGATAGAGCATAATATATATTATTACACATATAATTTATATCATTAAGATATTATTTATGTTAAGTTGCATGATATTTATTATTATAAGCATACCTGAAAGTGAACTAACTTGGCCAGAGACGGATCAGCTATGAATACTTGATGTAAATACGAGCATACAACACTCCGTATTTCTCGGAGTGACCACATTTGTCCAGGAGTATTCCTGTCTTCCGTAGTCTCCAGACATGCTTCTAATAAAATTTGTACTGCCGCACTTTCCTGGCCACTCACTAAAGCTATTCTTAAATCTTCTCTCTCTGTTTCGCTTGTTAGTTGTCCGATTTTCTCGGTCAAAGGCTTATCTTGCATATGTCTGGATAACTGAGATCGCGACGCGGCCAATGTAGCTTGCAAAATCCTATTGAATATAATTTGATTATTTTTATTATTATGAAAATAATTTAAAATAACTTTTATTTTTAGATTTATTTAACGATAATCATTTTTCAATTTACCTAAGAATCACAGATAAAATCGGCGCGCATCTGAAAACTCTCGTGTCACATCTGAGTACTTGCAACGGATCCAATACAATATTATCTTGTGTTAAGAAAACATTTTTTACTATTAAATTTTCTATTAATAGCGCGTTTATGGAAAGAACCCACAAACAACGCGGTAGCACGGTATTAAGCCTGAGCCATACTTGTTTGTAAAGTTCTGAAATTTAAAAAATTTTGTAAATTTTTCATAAAGTATAATTTAAATGTGTTGATTATATCAATAATTATAATTAATAATGTATTTATTATTTTAATGATTATAATTAATATTAATTATTAATAAAATAACAAATAAGAGAAAGAGAATTCTTGAAGCACATTAAATGATTGAAAAGTTATTAAATGATTATTAAAATAATGTAAAGTTACCTTGTATATATCTAGGAACTTGTTCATCAAGAATATCTTTAAAATAATGTACAATCAGCTCAGCGTGAGGCCAGATTTCAGTCGGTTTCATTGTCATTAATTGTCTCAATAATCTTCCTGTCCTCGAGGGACAAGTTTTAATATGACTGAAAGCTTCGACGATCGCGATGTCGCTGATTTTTGTGTTCTCATAACTCGCGATTGGAGAATCTATATTGATCATCTCGTCATCGAGCCAATCGTCCACCAGGGATAAATGCGGGAAGTGAGTGGCCAATAGCCGAAGAAGTGGCGAAAATAAACTGGCGTAGTTCATCTGATCCCGTTGAACTAATTGTAACAAATATTTAATTGGTAATTCGGATAAAAATTCCGTCGAATACGACTTGACCTTTCTGCCTTGCGATATGAAGGTATGCATGTTGGACAATCTTACATCCTCGTATAACAAAAGATAATACAGCAGCAATAACTGAGATGTGAGCGAAGGTTTCGAAGTGTTAATGTCCATATTATCGATGTCTACTTGCATAATGTTAACGGAATTCTTCTTAAAATCGAAATTCGCTCCAAATACGCTATTCTGATATACCCGGCGGATTTCGTTTTCAGTGATAGGTTTATTCGTATGCTCAGACGTTTTGTTATTTGTCACTAAGATTGAATTTACGTACACTTCCACCAGAGCCGGTAGAACTGGATGCAGCGGTGGCACACTCGCACATATTTGCCGGTATATCCAATTCTTGATGGGTACCCGATGTTTTGCAAACGCCCGTGACTTCAGCAACTGATGGATACAATGAACCGGTAGAAATCCAGGAATATTAGCATTCAGATTCGCCGTGACCGGTACCTTGACGGCATGAGCGGTGACCACTTGTTCAGTAAAAATTTCTTGCATGAAGATCTGTTTGATCCGCGTGAGATTGTTCGGCCTAATGGGTATCTTCATGCCGAGAGTGGCACAAACTAGTTCGCAGATTGCCGATAGCTGATTGCTGTGAAAGTGTATCGCCATCAGCAGCAGCATCTCACCGAAACTGGCCGTAACACCGCTTGCACTCTCAAAATAGGCTTCCTCGCGTACCAGCCACTGTACCCACTCGATGCTCCGTTTCTCTAGATTATGATGACCGATCAGTGAAGGACAGGCTATCAACATGCACAAACCGAGGGAAACGAATCTGACACCGGCCGGCGATGGCGGCGGATGTGACGTTAGTAACTGAACGATCATCGCCACCTCGTCATCTTGAAACTTGATGCCGCCGATACCTCTCAGAGCGCAGTAAAGCCTCAATAGTGCGCTTGCTTGCACTACCTGCGATTCTGCTAATTGACTATCCGTACTCTGAGAAGCGATTGTTTGTAATCGTTTGAGCAATTCTTCCCGCAGCGATTGCAAGGCCGTTTGAGACTCCCATTTACGCTTCTGACCATTCCGGATAAACATTGCAATCCACGAGCGTACCTGTTGATCGCTTCCTAATAACAAACCTGACACAAAAGCAACGACATCACTCTCGGGCTGCGAGCTGTTTGCGTTTTCATGTTCTAGACTCAAAGTGATAGCCAAAGCGGGCATCCTGCACAATTCCACACATTTTGCCCTGACTGCCAATGCTTGACTTGGATTCATCTGAGAGAGCAGCGTGATAGCTTGCGTCCTGATTCTACCTAATGCGGATTCTTCTTGTCGCTCCCCATTAGCAATTAAGTGCGCGCACACCTCTGAAAAGCTATCCGGACTATTGGCAACAATCCAGCAGATAATATCTGGACCATGCTTGACATGCAGCAAGGTCTCTGTAATATCAAGAATAGACAGCAATGTTGGCAATTCAGCAAGTGCTATGCAGATGACGTAGCTTATTTCCTCCATGTAGACTGCATTGTCGAATAAGTCTGACTGCTTGATCTGAAACTCCTGATTCTTTTGCAGTTCTTGTATCTGAGATGCTATAAATAGGATCTCACTGAGCACCAGTCTAATCCTGCGAATGGATTCGCTGCGCTCAAACTCCAGAGCCAGGCCACTTGATAAAGACTGTGCCAATACGCTGTCCCGTTGCACACTACCCAGCTTTTGCCTAGAAAAGACAATTATGTATAAAATTATTATTGAGATATATAAAAGCTATATATTAAAAATGATAAATTTTTAAGTTACTTAAAAACGAAAAAATAGAAATAATAAAATATGCCTCTTTAGCAAAATTTTATATCACTTTGACATGTAAAAATATAATAAAAGAAAATATATAGGTATATATTAACCTCAACTGTTGTTCCTGTCGGACGTCAGTTTCGAGCGCGTGGAAATCAATAGATAACAGGGCAATAATAGAATTGACGGATTCGATGCCCGATAATATTGTTAGAACCTGCTTCCTACCTTCCACGCATTCCTTCGTTATGTCAAGCGGCGAGATGAGGCTCATTCTAACCAAACACGGCAGGATGGGTCTGATCTCCTTGTGGGAACATAATGATAACTCCATGATATCAACATTTTGTATTGCCGTGAATACTCGCGGCGACACGCGAGTACTTTCATACATCTTACTAGCGAGTTTCTTTCTTTAATTATCACATAAAATGATTATAATCAGTGTATCAGTTTCCCTTTACAACCAGTCGCGGTAATGTTAGAACCACAGGTGACTGAAGAGCATTTTTATCGCGCATGCGTAATGCAACATCTATAAAAGCGCGAAAATATTTGATGAATTTTGGTCAAAGAATGATAAATTGATAAGTTAATATATTAGTAACTCGTTATTAAAATACATGCATTGTAAAATCAATGTACAAAAGACAACAAAAAAAAGAAAATTATAGGTTTACGAACTCAGATAAAAGCATATTTTTAAAGATTAAATTTTTCATAATTGCATTTATATTTGTTGCGTGTGTATTCAACACACATGCCTAAAAAAATATTTAGATAAAAAAACAATTGATATATATTACAATCAACGTTCCTTTGTATTATACCTTGTATATTACAGTATAAAATTGTAAAGTATATATTAAATTATACATATGCGTACATATCTTTCATTTATAACAAATATACAAATTTTTCAAGCATCTTGAGAATACACAACACCCAATTGTTTGCGAATTTCATCCTCCAGTCTCGCTAGTAATAAAGATGTATCATGCGTTATCTTCGGACTTTCTATCAAACCTATATATACAAAAATATTTTATATTAAAATCTATAAATATATAAAATATATATATTTTATATATATTTTATATATTTATATACATTGTATATAAATAAACTTTTATTATAAAAAAATTTATATTCAATATAGTAATTTATAAATATATTTATATCATAATTTATTTTTCGGTAGTATTATATATATATGTAATTAGTTATATATATGTAATTTACAAATTTCATACAGAGACACTTTACCTTTCAGGATGCACGCACGAGCTTCGGCGGCTTCATAAGAAAGTCCAGCAGAATTTATAAAGTTGATTTTATGATTTAATTGAGGCAGGGGAAAGTTCAATGTACCACTCGGTAGTTCGACCGTTGTCGGACACCAGAAATTCGGCACTTTTATTATACCCTTGGTACCGCAAATAGACGCATCATTTGTTAAATTGACAAATCCCTGTGTCGTGATGGTCGCGGTGCGATTCCCTTTATAGAGCAAAGTAGCTGACATGGATATATCGACGCCATCCTCATTTAAAACTCCGGAGGCTTTTATACTTTCTGGCATTTCATTATTGTAGACCAAGCAGACAAATTGTAAACAGTAAATGCCAAGGTCCAGAATCGTGCCGCCACCCAGTTCCTTTTTACTGAAATATGCGAATCATGCAAATTAATTAATCGATTAATGAATCTAGAAAATAGCTTAAGAAAATTAATCATTTCATTTTTTAGAGACTTTAGACAATCGTTATCTTTTTCACTTTTCTTTTTCTATTCGTATATATTTTAACTTAATAAACTTTATACGAACACTACACGATATACGTTAGATAGTCCGAAACCGAAGGACGCCGTCACTTGATGAATATCACCGATGTTGCCGGATGCGAGTTCTTTTCTAATGGCATCATACACAGGGAAACAACGGCTCCACACAGCTTCCATCAAAAACAGCTTCTTGCTTCTTGCATAATTGATCAATTCTGTAGTCTGTTTCAAATTCATTGTCAACGGCTTCTCGCATAGAATATGCTTGCCATGCTTTAACATCATCATTCCGATATCAAAATGTTGAGGATGGATCGTACCGATGTATACAATGTCTAAACAAAAAAACAATAAATATAAATATATAGGTTTATGTGTAAAAAATTACTTAACATACATATTTTTATCTTTATACGCAATATTATGCTTCAAATATTTCTATCTAGACTTTGTTAAAGTTTAGATGGAAATTTTTGCAGTGATGGATGTGTAAAATACGCGAATTCTTATTATTATGTATTAATAAAACCGAAAAATCCAATGTTACTGCATGCGAGTACCAATATCTTTATCCAAAGCCAATTTTTCGTAATCATCGAAAGCCTTCGGGATGTTGTGGAGATTCGCAAAATCTTGCGCGCGTGATAATTGTTGCGCTGCGACAGCAATTAACTTGTGCTCGTTCGCCGGCAAAGTATGCAACGCCGACACAAAATCGTGCGAAATCTTCCCCGCGCTGGCGATGCCCCATCGTAGAGTAGCCATCTAAATTTATTTGAGTACAAAATTAATTTTAAAACATTTTTCATTATTACTAATATATGCATGAAATATTAATTCTTTCAATATGACATTTCGATATCTTTGGCAAAGGTAAAATTTTATTTTCTAGTGTTTTAAAAATGTACTTTTTTTCCAAAATTTGAGGAAAAAAGGAAATATTGAAAATTTTAGAATGCATATTAAAAAATTAATAATAGTATAATATTTAGAAATAATAGTGTTTTTCGAAAATAACTATTAAATTGGTTAAAGGAGTTGTATTTGCCTGAGTATTACTTTATTTAACTGGTGTTGGAATTGTAAATTAGGATTGTAAAAATTATTTTTTTAATAACTATGTAAAAATATAATTCTTTTTTTTGTGTCATGAAATAAAATATAAAATTAAAGAAAGTAATACTTTAAGCAAATACATTCTTTAAAAAATACATTTTTTCAAAAAAGAATTGATAATTTAAGAGATTATCTCTTTCTACTAACATGTATCTTTTTGCAGCATTATCAGATAAATAAGTGCAATAACAAACTCTATTATAAACATATTTGTTTAAACAAATATAAAATTGCAAATTTCTTTTCTTCTATGATATTCAATATTTTTAATATTTTCTCGATTTTTATTATTAATGCACTGGATGTAATTTTGCTGAATTCATTTTCAATGTTATAAAAAATATAAATTTTGTGATATTAATTGCTTTAAAATTATTTTCTAGTATCTTATTTTCGTATTTAGATTTGAAATCGTTCTAATTATAATAATTTTTATTATTTTGAACAATCTATTTTCGCCTTTGGCTAATATTACATTTGTCGTATGATAAACTTTTTAAGCACATTGATTGGCTGCGGGATAATAATTTGTTGAATCTTTAGAAATTTTCTATCCCGCAGCCAATCAATGTGCTTAAAAAATTTGTCGTATGACAAATATAATATTAGCTTTTGTCTTCATAATAAATAAATCTGAATTCGTACGCAACTTAACCTAATTTCTGTAATCTAATCTGTTTACATTTTTTAAATCTTTAATTATACAAGAAATAACGAAAGAAATTTGACATAATTACCATAGATAAAAGTCCTTTAAAGTAGAAAAAAGTAATTATACTTGTGCTGTCATAAAATCGAAGTATTTGTCACGATATACTCGAGTATACTACTAACCACTTGGCACGGTAGCCCTTTATATCGAAGCTGCTTATTATCAACTTGCATATACTCTTTTTCTTGCTCGGTGACTTTTAATCGACCTCCTGTTATGGATAAAAATCGTTAAGAATGTTTATGTCTTGTATCTTTCCACTTGTGATTTTAATTATGTAATTACCTTATCACGTATTTAATCTATTATCTGTCTCGCCACGCAAAATAAGGAAAATATTCGTGGTATAAAATATCAGTAAAGAAAATAAGCAATAGCTATAGTTTTTTAAAAGAATTACATGAAACATGTATACTAATCTAAATAATACATAATTTAATACATAACATTTGTAGGGAAAATTTTTCTCTTACAAGTTAACCTAACTAACCTAAAAAATTATTCCGTAATTATTTTTATAATTATAATATGTAATTAATGAAAATACTTTTCCATACATAATTAATTTAAATATTTTCCTATGGATGATTAATTTAGATCATGCATTTTATATAAATTTCATCCACCTAATAATGCACGAGACACTGATCTGTATAATCGTGAAATTATAGAATTGTTACTATCTTCTATTCAAACATATATCCATAAGGTATGTGGAAAGTATATATATATCATTAATATACAATATAATTAATATTATTTTTTAAATTAACTTACAATTAGAATAATATGATAAAAGTGGAAATAATAGATATATATGCAACATGTAATAAATATATAATTCTATATGAAGTTTACCGTTATTATATACAAACTTTTTATTATATTGTCGCCATGAATATTCACGATGCGTGAGTACTTTCATATATCTCACTGGCGAGTTCTTTTCTTTAATATCAAAGTGATTATAATCGATGTATTAATTTTGCTCCACAACCAGTCGCGTAACAATGTGTCAAAACTACAGGTGACAGATCAGCTGACGAGATTTTTTTATCGCGCATGCGTGATACCATATATACAGAGACGCGTAAATATTTGAATTTAGATAAAAAAAAAAAAACGATAAATAGATAAATTAATGTTAACATATTAGTATCTCGTTGTTAAAATATGTCAATATGTGCATTATAAATTCAAATGTACAAAATGATTTTAAAAAACCAAAAATTATAGATTTGCGAACTTAGAACTAAATAAAAGCATATTTTAAAGATTCAATTTCCATATCAATTTTTTCCATATCAATATTTTATATAAATTTTACTTTATTTTTTATAGTTGCATTTATATAGGTTTGTGTGCGTATTCAACATACGTGTATAAAAAAAAACAATTGATATATATTGCAATTATGAATAAAAAATTTCTTTGTATTTATATATTACACATATCATAAGTATAATATATATATTAAATTATATGCATGCATATTTTATTTATAAAAATGTACAAGTTTTTCAATCATTTTAAGAATACCAAATATCCAATTGTTTGCAAATGATATCCTTTAATCCCGCTAGTACTAAAGACGTATCATGCGTCATTTTCGGACTTTCTGTGTAACCTACATATATAAAAATATTTTATATTAAAATCGATAAAATCGGTTATTTTTTATATGCAAACTTCAAAAAAACTTGTATTTTATGTAGTAATTTATATATATGTATATAATAATCTTTTTCTATTGTATCACACACACACACACACACACACACACACACACACACACAATTTGTAAATCTTATACAAAGAGACATAATTTACCATTTAGGATACATGTATAAATCTCAGTGATTTCATATACATAAGAAAATCCGAAAAAATTAGGGTCTATATTTGAATTCGGCAGAATCAAAAACTCCATTGGTGTTGGTCTATTCGATACTTCGACCCTTATCGGATACGTGAACTGTGGCACTTTTATAATACCATGGGTGCCGAAAATACGTGCTTCACTCGGATCTAAACCTTGTTGCACACTATTTCTCACCAGAATGTTCGCGATACGATTCCTTTGATAGCATACCCTAATCATTATAGATTTTATGTTACCATCCTGAATTCCTTTATCTCCTATTATAATCGTTGGCAACTCATTATTGTAGACCAAGCAGACGAATTGTAAACAGTGAAATATGGAATCCAGAATCAGCTCGTTCACTTGGCTACTGAAACATAAGAATCATAAAAATTAACTTTCGATTAATGATTAAGAGAAAACAGCTTGAAAAAAATTAATCATTTCATCGTCCTTCAGAAAATTATCTTTTTTTAGTTCACTTTTTTTATTCGCATATATTTTAATTTAATAAACATTATACGAACATTGGAAATTCATGTGTTTCCAATATATCCATACTATCAACGTCACCAATATTGCGGGATTCGATTTCTTGCCTGATGAAATCATACGCGGGGAAGAAACGGCTCGCCATAGCCTCCATCAGAAACAACTGCTTGGATTGTGCATAATCGATCAAGTCTGAAGTATTTTCCCACTTCAGTGTCATTGGCGACTCGCACAGAACATGTTTGCCATGTTTTAACATTAACATTGCGGTATCGAAATGTTGAGAATTGATTGTACCGATGAATACAATGTCTTAAAAAAAAGAAAACAATAGATGTAAATATACATATTGCAACGCAAAAACTTGATATATATGTTTATCTTTATCTATACGCAATATTATGCTTTAAACATTTCTATTTCTAGACTTTATGTTAAAGTTTAGATGGAAATTTTTTGCGGCGATGGATGCGTAAAATATATACGCGCAAGTTCTTATTAATACGAATTAATAAAACCAAAAGATCCTATGTTATTGCGTGCGAGTACCAATTTCTGTATCCAAAGCCAATTGTTCATAATTATTGTAGACCTTCGGAATGTGGTACGTGTTCGTGAGATCCTCTACGTTTTGCGCTGCGATGGCGATTATCATATGCTCGTCCTTCGAGGTATGCTCCAACGCCGATATAAAATCGCGTAATTTCCGCGTTATGCCGGCGATGCCCCATCGTAGAGTATAATTTGACTTATTCTAAATTTATTCGACAAAATTAATTTTCTAAATTACACATAACATGCATGAAATATCAATTTTTTCGTATGTCAATATCCTCGGCAAAAGTAAAATTTCATTCTCTCGCACTTTTCTACAAAATTTGTGAAATTGAAAAAAAGAGAATATTGAGAATTTTAAAGAAAGTATTAAAAAATTAGCAATAGTGTAGTAAAAATAATATCTATAAAAATAATATTTCTATAGAAACTTATATAAGAAAAATGTTTTTTGAAAATCGCCGTTGAAACTTTTGAAGGAAATATGATATTAAAAGGATTGTAATTTTTTAAATAATTATATGTAAAAGTGTAATTCTTTATATCATAAAATGAAATACAAAATTAAAGAAAGTAATACTCTAAGCAAATATACATTCTTAAAAAAAAATTCAAAAAAAAATTGATATTTTGAAAAGTTTATCTCTTTCTATTAACATATATCTTTCTGTAGCATTATCAGATAAATATGCAATAATAATCTCTACTACATAAACAATTTTTTAAATAATTATAACATTACAACATTCCTTTTTTTATTTCTAAATTTTATTTATAAGCGTTTTAATATTCGTTATTTGTAAGCGTTTAAATATTCTCTTAGATTTTTAATTATTAATATGACCGCTATAATTTTGTTGGATTCGATTTTCAATGTTATAAAAAAATATAAATTTTGTGATATTAATTGCTTTAGAATAATTTTTCAGCATGTTTCTTTTCTCCGTATTTGGATTTAAAATCCTAATTATAACGACTTTTATTGTCTTTGACCTTCTGCCTTATTGTTATTTTCATATTTGTCTTTATATTATCTAAATTTTTATACATCTTAATCTAACTTTTGTAATCTAATTTTTGTTTAAATATCTGTGAAATCTCTAATTATACAAGAAACAACGAAAGAAATTTAACAATTGCCTAGGTAAAAAACTTCTTAAATTAGAAAGAGATAAATATTAAGTTACTCACATCTTGGTAAAATAAATATCTTTTCGACATAATTGGATAAACCAAGCATCTCGTACAGTAACTCTCTATATGTAGAAGGTGCCTATTATCGAATTGTATATATACTCAATTTTTTTCGTCGACTTTTAATCGACCTCCAATGTTATGGATAAGAATTGTTAAGAATATTTATAATTTACCATCTTTCCACATATGATCTTATACATAAATTATCTTTTTAAGTAATTACCTTATAATTTAATCTAATAATTCTCTTGTCACACAAAATATAGAAAATAATACTTATGGTATAAGATATCAATATATAAATAGATATATTCTTCCATATTTTTAAAAGGATTAAAAATATAAATCTGTATAATATTAATATACAATACTATATAAATCTAATACATAACATGTACAAGGAATTTTATTTTCTTACAAGTTAATCTAACTAATCAAAAAGATTATTCCATAATTATTTCTTCCATAATTCTTAATTAATGAAAATATTTTTCCATACATGAGTAATTTAGGTCACACATTTTGTTGTGAACATAGTGATTTCTCTTAAGGGAAATATTTTACATAAAGCTCGCCCACGCAATAATGCGTGAGACACTGGCCCATACGATCGTGAATCTGTAGAATTATTACTGTTATCACCTTCTAACCAAACATATCCATAAGGTATCTGGAAAGATATATATATATATATATATATCATTAATATATAATTATTATTTTTTAAATTATGATTTAGAATGAATATGATTAATAAAAAGTGGAAATAAGATATTTCATGCAAAATAATAAACATAGATAATTTTACCGTTGTTATATTCAGACCATTCCTTATATTGTCGCCAGGCAAGCCTACAATACGCTTGCATATATTTTGTTTTGGATTGTTGGGACATTTGGAAATGACAATGTCTCCTTTCTTGAGCTTTTGTAATCTCACTGATATTCGTTCCATAATTAATACATCGTTAGTATATAATGTAGGCTCCATGGATGGACCACTGCACTGTAATTATCGACATGCATGTATATTTCTCATTTTTCCTTTGTAAGAAATGTATCAATTTATATCAAGAGATTTTTAGTTGTGCGTTTTATTATATATAATATATACGGTATGATAATATAACATTTTATTTATAAAAGGTAAATTTACTGTACATTGCTCTTTTATGAATCATAATTTTTTTTTCTAGACGAATTATAAAATACGATACGATGTGTTAAGTCTTAACTTTCTTCATATAAAAAATCTGTAGAAATTCTATAAAAATTCTATAGAATGTGGAAAAAATCAAATTATAAAATATAAGGAAATATCAACTCTCGTGTAAATTTTTTAAAAAATATATCGCGCTATATATATATATATATATATATATATATATATATATATATATATATATATATTAATACATACCACGACAATGTCCCCTATATATTCGTAAACGCAGTATGTCACACATGCACATTCTACGAATCCACGTATAACCTTATACAGAAATTGATTCAGTTGTAACATTATGTGTGCCACTCGTCTCGACAAGGAAGATTAATATTTCTCCTCATCTGATCTGTCAGAATCGTGTACATAACTCTCTTATATATCAAAACATGAAATCACATACATAATCAACATTTAATCTCCTCACATCTGACGTAATGTTGCAATCTTGCAATTGTGTCATTTTGCACTTTGACGGGTCTGTTCCTTTTAAGACACATTCCACTTACCGTTCGCATCGCTCGCGAGTATTATCTGTCTTTGTTTAACTCTCGACAAAGAACAAGGATGAAATGATATTGCGAGCGTTGCTAACATCAAATGGAATGTCCCTTTGATCTCATACGCTGCAGATATACTTTCCGCTAGAGATGGACCGCAAAAGTGTCAAATTGAACGTACGCTCAAAACGAAATACATAGATTATATTTAGATTATTAGGAGGAAAAGAAGGGGAAAATAAATTCAAAAGCAAAATACACGTAACGCGCTGCTAAAATAAATAAATCTTAAAAACTCTTGAAAATACAGCGTACAGTATGTATTATAAATTGCACGCGACATACGCGAATAAAGCATCGCAATACTGCCAACTGGCAAAAAATCAAATTGATCGCGCATCGCTAACTTCACTCTACATCGACTTTTGTCCAAACATATGTGGAGCGATTGCGATAAATGGCAATTATTCAAATAATTACGAAAAAGCGTGTATTATTTCCACGTTATTTCCAATCTCTCCAATTGCAATTATTACGAAAATAAAAACCGATTTCTATACAAACTTCGCCGAATTGGCACGCGATCTTTATTTTCGCGAATGGATGAAACGCGATATTTAAGATACAACGCTTTTTTCAAAAACTGACGTCGCTCAAACGGTGTCAATTTTAAATATAAATATCAAACGATCGCTACGATTATCCTGAAAAATATAGTACGATATAAAACTGAAATTTTGTATTTATATCCTAGAAAGAGCTATGTAAATCTATTTGAAAGATTTGGAAAAACAATCCTCTTGTTAAACGCGACAAGCAAATGTGACAAGCATACCTTATTCGGCGGTCGAGGGAGAGAGGAATTTTAGATAGAACGGATAGTAAGTTGGAAGGAGAATATCTTGCGGCGCGAATTAATTTGTCCTCCGGGGGAGGATCGATATCAATCCGAAGATTCCGCTGGAACTCTCGCGAAAGATCGCGGCGATGGGCGCATTTTCACGGGCGAATCGAACTGGAGCAACAACTGGCACGGGTTTCGCGGAGCGTCGCGCAGAATCTCGCGATATCTCGCTCAGAGAATCACCCCTTAATCGGGCACCGTCGGCGAATCTCGGGCTCGGCTCGCGGTCGTGTCCCTCGGCCGTGTTCCTGCGCCGTGTATGAATCTCTCGCGTTTAGTTTAGTGTCTAGCACGCAGGTTACGGTCCGACCGACGGGCCGGGATTAAATCGCACGACGTGCGCGTTATCGCGACAAGTGTCAAGACGGCTCGGTTCAGAGCGGTGAATACGCGATCGAGAGGGTGACATAAACGAATAACGCGCGCGAGACGTTCAAGGGGAGTGACACGCGACGTGGTGCGTGGTGCGCCCGCCCGTACGCACGGTGTCGAGAACGCGCGACCGCACGCACGCACGCATACAGACACACGCACGCACGCACATATATACGTACATACATACATAACACGTATCCACATAAAAATATATTTATATATACACATATACATAATATATACACATATATATATACACGTACATACGCATACATATACACGCTCGCACACGTACGAGAGCAAGGAAGGAGGAGACCGCCGACGGTTTCTCCCGTCCCACGGCGCCAATTTAATGGATCCGACCATCGGTTGGTACCAACCGGAGCAGTACGGCCCCGCAAAGAACCTGTGGATGCACATCTGGGAGGTCGAGAAGGGCATCGACGTACTGACCCTGCGTAACGACGCGAACACCGCGATGGGCGTGCGGCTGCAGCAGGACTTTCTCGCGCTGGACACGAGCCCGGCGGCGGCGGCCGCGACCGCGGCCGGCACCGCGCCGTCATCCACCACCGGCATCGCCGGCACCAACGCCGGCTTAGGCCTCGGTAATAGCAACGCAAGCAGCAATAGCAATAACGGCAGCGGCAACAACAACGGCAATGCAAACGGCGGCAATGTCAGCAACGGTAACAACGGCCGCGCCACCGTTCATGGCAATGCCGGTAACTGCGAGCAGCATCGCGTACCCCACAACGCCTGCAACAATTACTACAATCCGTCGCGCAGGAAAAGCGATAACCGTGCCAGCACCTACGGCATGAATTACAATTACGAGGCCCTCGTGGGCGAGTACGGGGGCTGTCCCTGGCGCGTGCCGAACAAGCACTACTCCAGGGGAGTGATCGGGTGAGTAGTCCCGCGTAGCGTCCTGCCTTCCGCGGGCGATAGTCGCCACGCGGCCCATATGGCCGTTTAGTTAGGTTAGGTCGCGTTGTATGGAACATCTCTCGACGCGACGCGACGCTCGAGGACGATGTTCGACGTTAAACAAGACGAGGGTCATCTCGGTTGAAAACGAAATTTGGGATATGATTGGAATGTATGTTGGAATTTTTGTGGGATTTAATTTTATTTTTGCCGCACCTGAGAGGCTTCCCCCGATACGATGCCGTGCATCTCTGCGTTCGTACGCCAATACTATGTATTTACAAATAAAGCCACATATAGCTACAAAAAGTTTGAAGTTATATTTCGTTATAATTCGTTGGCCTGTAAAAAAAATTGTAAACATGTTTTATATTGGGATGTACAATTCAAGGGACGCGTTGGGAATTATAATCTGAAGGACGAGGTGAGAGAGTATAAGATAATACTCGACGGAAATTTCAAACGATATTTAGAGAATTATAGAATATAGAATTTTGCACTTGTTATGTTTTTATATTTACAAACAAATATTTAAAACATTGCTCCTTTGTAAACTTATCGAATCAATATATTTGAGGGAAATATTTAAATATAATAAGAGTATATATTATGTTAGATGTAACTTAATTTTAAATCTTTTTAATAGATATATAGATAATTATAATTTTATTTTAATCTCTTGCATATTATTTTTATATACGCATCATCTTGTGTAATTTATATATATTCAAAGTGTATATACTAAGAATAATTATACTAACAATGAAATAGAAAAGGACATCTTACAAATATTTTAAAACCGATGTAAAAAACACTGTACAATGAATATAATGATGTATTTTGTTTAGATTACACGAGGAAATAGAAGATTTTTTTGCATACATGTGTCCCTCGCACGAAGAGCACGTTTTAAGAATAAGAGTTGTAAAGAGAATAGAACAAGTAATTTATGATCTCTGGCCAAACTCTAAAGTCGAAGTATTTGGCAGTTTTCGCACTGGTTTATATTTGCCTACAAGGTATGGTAATACCTATCTAGATATTTAGATTCATAATTCATTAATTCATACAATATATCTAAAATATTGAAGAAAATATAATTGCATGTAATAAGAATCATTATATATCAACAAAATATATAGATAATACATTTTGTTTTTTGCTATTACAGTGACATAGATTTGGTAGTAATAGGAATGTGGACAAATCTTCCATTACGTACTTTGGAACGTGCTTTACTAGATCAAAATATTGCTGAGCCATCATCTATTAAAGTCTTGGACAAAGCCAGTGTGCCGATCGTCAAGCTAACCGACAAAGAAAGCGAGATTAAAGTAGACATCAGTTTTAACATGAACAATGGCGTCAAGTCTGCGGACTTGATAAACTCTTTTAAGAAGCGATATCCAGTGCTAGAGAAGCTAGTCATGGTGTTGAAGCAATTTTTATTACAGAGAGATCTTAATGAAGTGTTTACCGGTGGTATATCCTCCTATAGTTTAATACTCATGACCATTAGTTTTTTACAAGTGAGTATAATCATTGTAACAAGTTAGAATCATAATTAGCTAATTGAAGTGAAAATTAATTATTGAATCAAATTCTTTTAATTCAGCTACATCCAAGACAAAATGCTTATTGTTCAAATGCCAATCTGGGAGTATTGTTGATTGAATTTTTAGAATTATATGGTAGAAAGTTCAACTATGTTAAGACTGGCATTCGTGTAAAGGATGGTGGTACTTACATATCTAAAGAAGAGGTCTAATAATTTTTTATATTTACAGTAGCAAGAATTTTATATATTAATATAGAAGCGTTTCACTAATTTACATATTTATTAACAGGTTCAACGAGATATGATAGATGGCCATCGACCATCCTTACTATGTATAGAAGATCCACTAACACCCGGAAATGATATTGGCCGTAGTAGTTACGGCGCTTTGTATGTAAAAGATGCATTTGATTGGGCCTATTTTGTTCTTTCTCAAGCAGTCAGTCCTTTAAATATCTTAATCAATGACGCCAGTAAAGTAAGGTAATCTATAACTTGTAATTCTATTGTGTTTTTTTATGTTCTTCTTTATTTATCAAAGATTGTAACAAACGATATGCTTTTATTATATGCAGCATTCTAGGAAGAATAATTCGTGTGACTGACGAAGTAATAGATTATCGTAGATGGATCAAAGAAACATTCCAGGTACCTGTAAATGAAGGAGATTCTCTGTCAAGCTCAACTGGTTCTGATGCATCTACTCTTTCAGCTCCTGCTAGTGATACGGTAAATATCATAAGAATGATAGATAATATATAGATAGATGGTAGATATCCTAAGAAAGATATATTTATTTAGTCTTTTATTGTATCATTATCGATACTTCTGTTCACATTTCTTGTATCTTGTTTATTTTCCTTTAATATTAACTTTATTTTACATTTCTCATATATATATATATATGGAAAATAAAATTGTATAGCTCAAAGTGTAATTATCAGATGTGTGGCAATAAGATTGTTCTTAATCTGAAATTACTAATTTTGTCTAAGGATTCTGAATGCAGTCGTGGCAATTCTCCAAACACTGGCGGGAAAAATGATAATGATAAAAACAAAGATAGGCACATTTATAATAGTCAGCAAATTCATTCTTATCCGGGAAAGAAAACATTCAAGGCAATCACTCATGGTACGACATTTAAATGACTATATTTGCTATATGTGTATATTTTAAAATTGTTGCAACAAATTTTTAACGATATTATTAAATGAATAATATAACATGTTAATTTATTTTGCTCTCGTGTTATCTGATTGATATTTTTCTTTTGCAGCCCATCAGCAGCAAAATTTCAGCAAAAGCAATTATCACATCAACAATAATGTAGCTGGTCAAAACAAGATCAAGCACACACTTCACAATAATGGAAACAATAATAACAATAACAACAATAATACTAGTCACAGTCCGAGTTCGAGGCCAAATTTAAGGAAGAGTAAGAAGCAATGTACGATGCAGCGTGGAACCGGTGATTGTGTACGGTGATGAAACGTACATGATAATTTTGAACATTACTTCCGTCACTTAAGTAGCGAGCTCAATATCATAACTGTGTGATAGAAAGACAGCGATTAACGTCGATTATATAACAACCGAATCATCATCTAACACGATTCTCTTCTTCTCTCGTTTATTATTTTCAAATGTATAGGAGGGCACAAAGAAAAAACATTTATAGTTCTAAGAGAACTTACAATTTGGAAATTTTACAATTCTTGTACAGGACAAGAACGCCCAAGCAGAAAATGACTATACATATATACATATATATACATATTTGTTTTTTTTCCCCAGTTTACCAGAATCATATTTTTCTGTCTGTACGCAAAAAATTTATGTACCAAAGACGTACAGAATTTCTAATCGCGATTCCAGATAGAGTCCATTTATATACTTCACTTTTATTGTACAGGCTATACCTGAGTAATATTTTATCAATTATTGTTTATCAAAAATCAGAAAATTATTACCATCGTCAAATAGCAATTGCGTGTTCAGCCATGATGAGTAATATATCAATATATTTATATAGTGTATGAATGGGGGGTATACACATATACATACACACACGCATATAAGTTGTTCTCTCGAGAACTTTAATAGACAAAACTATGAAACACACTAATAGTGACAACAAAAACTTAGTTTTCTATACGGAACTATATTCTTATAACAAGAGGGTGACAGCAAATTTGTGGTGATATTGGGACTTATCTAATGTACATATTGTAATATATATATATATCGTCAAAGAGATAAAAAAGTAAGTCTAAGAGTTACCTATTATAAATATATAATCTTTGTTTTTTCTTTTTTTTTTAACTTATAAATGTCTAAAATAATGTTTGTTACATGGTTTTACTAAAAATTCGCAGATGAAACCATATCTATTTGAAAATGTACCTTTGTTTTTCTGTATTTTTTTTTTACTAAACATAAACTAAGTGCTTTGTTGCAAAGATTTTGGTATATTTTTCAGATTTTAATAAAATTACAGGTTCATGTGCGTGCACGCGCTAATAGAGTACGATGGTATAAAAAGGAAAGAAAATTTTGAATAAAAATATTTTTTAAAAATAGCTTATTATCTCGAGACAAAAATACATACAACATATACACATACAACGTGATGACAACGCTTCGAATCTTTTCGCAATCTATTTCGTAGCAACAATTCCTTTTTTCCTGCGAATTTGCTTTATCTATCTTCTTTTGTACAGAAATACTAATTTCTTAATGTTCATAATTCTTAACATCTCTTCAACAATGACGTATTATTTTTATATCAGATAATTAAAACACACGTTTACATTATGCAAAGGGAAAAACGAAGAATCTGATATTTATGAATCTTATATTGCATTTCATGAAACTTATGTATATGACAATACGCAAAAAGGCCTTGATATTACTTAAAAGCTCCGTATATTACGTTCGTCGATCATGGTAGACGTAGTTCATTATTGAATATTACATTCCGTTGACGCAATAACTAAGAGGACAGAAAATAGAGTATTTACTGCAACAAATCTCTTTAATAATGTCAGATTAAAATTCTTTCTGGTACAGCTGCATTTTTGTATGTTAAACGATTTTTAATGTGCGATTCAAAGATGATTCCTAAATTCTTTAGTTTAGTTACATAAATTGAGGATATTTAGCTTCAAATTTTTTTTAAATTATATAATACCTAGTATTTTTTCGTGTATATTGTTTAACTTAAAGAACTCTTTCGTATATAATATTGTATGCTGTGATTGAATTTAATAATTAAATTGTCAATTGCTTAAAGATATATATAAATATATATAAATATATAATTTAAATGTTACTGTAAAGCATTATATAGCCATACTACATTTTTAAAACTATGTAAACTATTATTATTATCGCTTAGTGATCCTCAGCAAGTTACGTGTTTTTTATAAATATCAGAATTTCGTAATCACACACATTGAAAGTTTGATAACGAAATCACTTCGTAATCACTCATATTTATCGAATTTTCCCGAGCGATTATTGGAATTTCTGTAAAAAAGCAAAAAAAAGAAGAAAATGAAAATGAAAAAAAAAAAGAGTTTAATAAATATGAATGATGCCGATGTCTGATCTTAATTATTTCTTGTCATTTGTATACTTTTCAGGAAAGCGATTTTACCTCATAGAGTTATTATTTAAAAGCAGTTAAATAGTTTATAAAAACTTCTCGATAGCAATATGAATCTCTATAATAATCTTCATATTTTCCAAAAATTTTGATAATCGTGTATATTTATATTCATGCGAGTATATATTTTTAAATAAGCAATATATAATGTAACGCTGTAACGCGATCAGTAAGCTTTACCTTTGTAGAATTGTACTGTCGTCTCACAACCGTTACATTGAAATTGTAAAAAAAAATATCTAAATGGATTACACTCTAATAGTTCGTAACTGTGTAATTACGAACTTTTGAAAGTACGGGCATTTAATGCCTGTTGCCTATGTTTTTTTTCTTTTTTTTTTTTCTATAAAAACTTGCATGAGGAGAAAGGAAAGTGAGATAGCGATTACGTAATTTAAACATTGTCAATCTGGCAGCGACTTGTACTTATAATTAGCTGTATTTGTAAGTTTGTATACATATAATAATCTAAAACGAAAAATGTGTGAAAAATGTACAGAAATGAAATAAATCTTACTTACCTTTTTCTTCAACCAAGTTCGACATATTCCCCACAGTAGCTAAAATATATATTTCATACAATTTTTAATGTACTAATTTATGTTTATACATTTCATATATACACTTAATATGTTGATATTTTAAACTATATAAGTATATTTCAATATCAATGGCGCTCTAATGTAACCATATGGCATTTTATTGAAATTTTGCCACTTGTACATATATACAAGCGTCCATGGAAAGAACTGTACATAATGAGACTAAATTATTTAAGAATAGATAATTTATTTTCGAGCAAGGGGTCCTTCGATCGGATTCATGTCAAGCTTCTTCATACGATCTAATTGTGCTAGTCGGCGTTCTAGCGAGAATGTTTCTGGCATTTCTGGATAGGCTGGATAGAAAGAGAAAAAATATGTTAAATCAAGATTTCTCAAAGTGAATTGAGTCACATAAAAATAGAAACATACCAAATATCTTGAAATATATGTATAGCCATACGCCAGCGCTTATAACTATGAAACTTAATCCAAGAATGCCTTTCCATTCTCCTGTCGGTGCATCGATTTCGCTGAACGTTTGGCGAAAACTAGCACGATACAGAGCTTTCTTTTCTTCAATAGATAGTTTCTTCCAGTCTCCCTTCTCTTTCTCTCTCAGAGCCTGATATGGCAATTTAACAATCGTAATCAAATAATGATATATAAAATATGATTTCACTATTATCTTCTTTTCTTACCATGATATCAGAGGTATTTTCCTTCCAACGTACTGCAGGACAGGGAAAATCTGTTCTGTCTAAGTAACTAGGTTCGCCATTAAATCCATAGCCAACCACATCCCTGTTCCCAATCCTATCCACTGTCATTAGTCCACATCTTTGTATTTGGATAACAGATCGCAAGTGATTTGCAAATAGTCTACCTGCCATTATTTACTGAAAAGTGTTGAAATTATACATTTAGGCAAGACTTTATATACAAGAAACATACAGTATTTTTTTCTACAATTTTACATATACAAATTTTTTTCAAATCATTTTTCCAATTTCATTCTCAATACCTTGCCAAATACATACATGCAAACACACACACATATACATATATATATATATATATATATATATATATATATATATATATATAATTTTACTAGTGGTCTTTTATTACAAATTAATTATTTATCATGTAATATGAAAGTAAACGCAAAATGTTTGTCTTGATTTTGAACTAATAATCTTTCTTAAGAAACGTCAATATTCAGGAGTATCTTATATCTCCGAAATTACATATAATTGTATGTGCAAGTGCAAATGTTACCTAACTGATGATAATAAGATAGTCGAGAACCGAGAAATAGAAATCGCGCATAAAAAAATCACGCGCAAAGAAATGACTCGAGTTACATAATTAGGACAATATCACGATTTCGATCGACGATGTCACCTGAAAAAACTGCGAATTAAGACACTTACTGTCTGCAAAGACACTTCGCGCAGGATAAGGTAAAATGGCCTAGAATAGCAGGTTAGCACTAGATGTCAAGTGCGTTCAGGAATGCAACGTTCGTGAGTTGCTTCGCACATTGAAAGGATTTTTGATTGATCAGAGAATTATAGGACAATCTTTTATCATCACTTTGAATAATATAGGTGAATAAACATCAAATAAATGATGAAAAATGATAAATATGAGAGATAAGAAATTCAAAAATATATTCTGCTCAAATGAAGTATGACTGCCGTTACACTTTAAATTTTGCAAACGGAGCTTGATAAAAAAATAGAGCACACGCTCGGTTTATCTAGTAACATTGGCTGCGTTCAGTAAGAAAAGCTGCTTTACAACTATTGTAAAATTCGTGAATCTGATTGGTGCATGCTTTTAGATTCAGTTAAAATTAAAAGTATACACCAATCAGGCTCATGAATTTTACATAGTTGCAAAGCAGCTTTTTCTGCTGAATGCAGCCATTCATGATACAAACAGGCATACCATTGCACAAAATGGCGGTAGCATAAGTGGCGATTTATTAATCGTAAATGATTCTAAAAAGAAAAGAGTTTTCGCGAAATAAAGAAATATCAAATTAATTATATTAAAAGAAATTAATTACATACCATAAAAATATTTAATAAATTTAATTAAGCAATAATTTAAACAATAAAATAAGAATTAAAATAAGCGCATTAATAATATAAAAAAATTATTATTCAACAAACATTAAAAACTTTAGGTATTACATTGTATATAAATATATATATATATATAAACTTTTTTTAAATCTATTACTAGACATTACAAAGCGGCGCATTATATAGCAATATGCTAATATGAACTATTTTGAACAACGTTCTTAACAAGGATCTTCTGAAATTTTTAAATGAGAACCTTAGAAGAAGACGAGAGGGAGAAGCAGAAGTCACGAAGAAAAAGGAAAAACGAAGCAGAAAAATAACAAAACAATTAAACACATATAATATCGCATAATACATGTATGTCTTTTTCAGAATTGATAAAAATGTACCTTTTTTTAAATTAGAATTTATAAATTGCATATAAGCACTAATATATTACAAATTTTTACAAAATAGAAATTTTTATTTGTTATTTTATTAATAATAATGTTTGCTAAATAAGTGTTTTATATTTATATACATATACATAGGTAAACTAAATATAAAATATTTCAATAATTATATATATATATATACATAACTAATATTCGTAGCCATATTGCGCGAGAATTTACAAGAATGTATGGTAACACTGCATGACTAGTAATGTATCTGCAGTGACAACTATACGAGTATAGTGAAAAGATCAGTTGAAGAGATGTAATTAATGTGGTTTGATATTTCGTTCCTTATTCAGAAAAACATTTTCGGGAATGAAGTAATAATTTTGTTTAGATCTCGAAAAGTATATACCGGTGATAATGTGATGGCGATATATGTTTCGAGATTCTTTAGCGAATTCCATATTGCCGGTTACAAGGAGACCCGTATATAAGAACAGTGCTTGATGTAAGATTTTCATTCATACGACATAGCAACATTCTGATAGGATATTTCTGAAACATTGACGCTGCGAAAACGAAAAAAGTACGCAAAGATGCTGTTCGATTAGCCGTAGATTGAATTTCTGCTTCAGTAATGTAAAGAATCAGAGTATATTCCTTGTACTGTGATAGAGAACACACTGTAGTAATCTGGCAAGATAATACTGTGTATACTGTTAAATCTCAGCTAGATTTAGGATCTCGCTGTGGCATCTCCGTAGATGAAGATGAGTGGAGATATGTTTGACGGAAAAGATTATCCGACTCAGTGGGCACTCAATCCCACTGCCTATCAAAACATGAGTAATGATCAAGGTAATTTTTGACAATAGATACGTTTATAAATCTTGATACATTGTGAAGTTCAGTAATGTAAATAATTGTGTATAAATTATTTACTGGTAATGTTAATGTTTGTCTGGAAACAGTGGATTGGGCAGCTTTGGCACAACAGTGGATAAAAATGAAAGAGACAGTTGTACCACCAGCACCGCCGCCACCAACTATAAATCCTATATATTCTGCAAATGATGGCAGCGGTGAGGCACCAATGGATATGGATACCAAAGATGACGAAGTACCTCCAGCACCGCCTGCACCAACCATCAGTGGATCTGGTAGGAGAAGAAGCATGATTTTGTATTTAAGAGACAGCATATAGACAAGAATTGACAGTGTAAGATATCATTTTCTCTCATACAACATTGTGACAATATGAATAGAAACTTGGACTCAATGGAATCAGTGGGGTCACTGGAACACTTCAGCATCTGGAACAGGAAGCTGGGAATGGAGTGGTGTACCACCACCTGGTGTTACTATAGGTCCTGATGGCAAACCAATCGGACTTCCAACTATGCCAGTTATACCACCTGCACCGACAATATCTACCACTACAGATTTTAATGCGCCTCCTCCTGCTGCACCATCGTTGTATTCATACAACTCGTCACTGTCGCCTGCACAATCATACAATCAGGTATAACTAAAAACAGAATAAAAAGAATTTATAACTAATAAACTTGTAAAGAGAGTAATAAAGTTATGAAATTCTTCCCGATTATCTCCTCATACAAATTCATGCTGTTAATGTTCAATGATTTTAAATATTCAGATAATAAATTATTTTAGATATATATATGTATATATGATTGTTTCAAATGATAAATTTGTTTTCAAAAATTCTACTGTTCTATCATAAGTAACTATTGTGTAATAGTCATATTCTTTCTATTTAATTGTCTAAACAATAATATATAGTTTTCTGAATATTTTCATCAAAAGAAAGCTACAAAGGTTTTAAGTCATTTCTCAATTAAATCGTATTACATACTTCTTTTTCAGGTTACTAATTATTGGTCTGGAGATGCACCTAACACAATGACATCACAGCCGCCTCCTTTTATGAAGGGTATGAGGCATCCAAATAGAACACCTCATATGAGAGTAATGGATCCGGTCCGATGTCGAGATGATAGGGAAAAAACACCGGAAGAGGATACTACTACAACTATAGGTAAAAAATTTTAGAAAGTATAATAACGACAATTCTCTTGTCACAGTTCGTATGAGTTTTCTAGTTGGCAATTATGGATTAGATAATTTAACTGCTATAACTTGCTATTAATCTGTTCTGCATAGATGCTGCAAAACGGAGACAGTTACCTGCATGGATTCGAGAAGGATTGGAGAAAATGGAGAAGGAAAAACAAAAAGCTGTAGAAAGAGAGCGGCTAGAGATCTTAAGGAAGCAAGAGTTGGAGGCTCGCAAGCAAGCAGAGGATGAAGCGCGTGCAGTGCTCAATCCTAGCAAGAGTAAATTTGTAAGTTTTAATCATGTTACACTAGAATTTTAAATAAATAGAGAAGCAGCAGTGGACTTTCATTACCACTCACAGCGCCATATAGGGGCCCTTTTAGCATCATAGCTCTAATGGAACATTGCAAATTGTAAATATGTTCAGTCAATGTGGGGATAACTTAAGATTTATGCTGATTACAACATATATTGCAATTTATATATTTATATATGTATTTTTTTAAACAAATATAGCAATTGAATGCTTCTGATAATAAAAATAATGATAATCATTATATTGATAATAATATTAATCATTAATCAAATTCCAGTTGCAAATAACGAGTAGCAGGATGTCATCTACTTTTCAAAATTAACATGGCTGCTTGAATCGGATGGAGAAAGAACTATGAATTAAAAATCGCGACTACTTTTCTATTAATCTAAAATTTTTTCTGAATGTTCTTCATGTTATACATTTTCCAAACAACTCGGTCTCGATTTATATGACTGAAAATTACATATCGCCGCTGCTTTTTCTTTCACGATTTTCAGGACTCCGATTCGGAGAAGGAGACCGAACAGGATTTTGATGTAGCGAGTAACATGCGTGGGCAACAATCTATAGATAAGAGCTATGATCGTACCCCGGATATCATTGTTCGGCCGCGAAAGTCACGATTCAGAGATGCTGATTCACCAGAATCTCACGCGGACGCTGATGAGAGTCCAACCGCCACGACTAGCGCACTTCCAGCAGTCGCACAAAAACGATCTTTAGATGAAATCTTCCAAGATGTGGTAAGCGGAAAATGGCATTCAAAGTTAAATCGTTGAATTAATCAAGATCAAAATCAACTAAAATACAAGTTAATCCGATGGCGAATATTCTTAATTTATTATGTAATCAATTTTATCACAATACGTGAAATAATTTGTGTCTTTCGTTTATTACAGATGTTGAAAGTAAGACGATCGCTGACGGAAATACTTTTGGAGGTAACGAACGAAGAGATTGCCACGGTATGCAGAGAGGTTTGGAGCCGCGCACGTGCCAAAGGTACCCCAGATACACACGATAGAACTAACCAATTGAATTTTCGCCAAGCTGCGACGAAGCTGTGCGATTGTATATATAATATAAAGTTGAAAGAAAGCATTAAACAAAGATTCATTAATGCATAGACTTAATTATTCGGCAATTTCAGGACATCCTGCTTTTTTTGGTTTTCAGGGATTTGCGTTTAGCATAAGGCATATCTCTCACTTTCTCACGTTTTAATCACGTAATCGTTTCATATTACGTGCCGTAGATTTTAGAAATTTCTCTTTTTTACGTGCCGGCATTTTTATGCCTGACAATCATTTCGCGCGACACATCTCCTTAGGAGATAAAAAGACTCTAATATTATATATTTATTTATACTGTAGTATAAACAAAGTGTTTTCAGAATCTATAATCGAAATTTTATGTAATCAGAATTTGTTTTAACAAAAATACCTAGATGTTATATTTAGTTAGTAATATTTAATAGAATAATAAGAGATTCTCTCATATACCCATTTAAAAGAATAATAAGAGAATCTCATACCCATTTTTACGTCATGGGCATTTTATCGTTTAGTTTTTATACATTTCAAGGCACTTGACTTGACACTTGGCTGATCCGAGATTTTTTTATAAATATTTCTAACTTCTTCGTTTCGAGTTTTATGCGGATCTCATTTCCTATTTTCCGACGATAATCTGCATATATTAAATCGCGATGTCGATCAATTTTCTCGCGTAAAGATTGATATAATTTGTTGACTTTTGTAAGTGTGGAATAATGCTAAAGATTTCTTAAGGTACATGAAAGGAAGCGAAGGGACGAAGGAATGGTTCGGTCCCTCCCCTTGCGAAAATGAGCCAATAAAGAGTCATTCAATATTATCGGGGTCATTTATCCGTGCAATAGCACTTTTAGCTTTGGTTACTAAATGCGTGTGTATTGTAAGTCCCCGCAGGAGAGACCCCCGTCGCATCCCTCAACAACACGGCCCCTCTTGCTCAGATCACTCGCAAGCTCGGTGAGTACAACACTTGATATAACACACGGCGATATCCTTAAGGAACGGCCTAAAAAAATGACGCAAGTAATTTGTTGAGAGAAAAAAAGAAAAAAAAAACATGTATCAATGCGTGAATGTATTCAATATTAATTTGGCCGTTTCGTTCGTAGAGATTTATTGCCACAACCGAGAGAAAAATTTCTCTCTCTTTCTCTCTTCCTCTATCTCTATTTCTTTCGTTCTTCCTCAAGGTATTCCTTGATGAAAGTAATGGCTGCAAAAATTAATCAAAGTCTCAAGTTTTTTGTATGTTTTTTTTTTCTTTTTTTCACACCCATTCCGATTTCGAAAAACATTATATCGCACGTACCGGACGGATGTAATTTCGATCTTTCATCTGTTGTAGGTCTGGGCATCTATGGTGACAGTAACAGCGAATCCGAGGAAGAGCAAAGCGAACATGCACAGATTCATGATGACGACAGTGACGAGGAGCTGAAAGTAAGTGAATCTTGCAAACAAATTTCTCGAATAAATAATTTAAATTAATGATTTTATTTTATTCTAAAACGAATTCCAATTTCATAGGAGACATTGAGACGTCGACAGCAGGCGTTTCGCAAGACGGAGGAGGAAATCGAGGCGCGTCTCGCTGAGGAGGAGGAAAGGGAGGAGCAACGTAATTACGAGGAGCAAAACAGTAGACAACAAGAAAATCATACCGGTAATACTAGCTGCCGGGAGTCAGGTATGTTTCGACAAATAACACAACCGTATGTGGCCTGCGCAATTTAATGTAACTCCCTGACGTCATACTTTAGTTGATGAAAAAGAAACGATAAATAATCAAAGAGAAGCGTCCGAAACTTTATCGAGCGGCGGGCAAAGTCCACAAACGGCGGCGCTACAGAACGCACCAACGGCCGACGGCCATCAGCAAGCGACGAAAGCGGGCAGCACCGTATCGGGATCGGCCGACTCCGAGTCGAGCAGCACCGAATCCACGAGCAGCTTGTCCGAATCGAGCCGCGAGTCTGCCAAGAAACACGACAAAGCGCGCAAAACGAGTAAACAGCTGCAGTCGCAGTCGCAGCAACGCGAGCAGCAACAGCAGCAGGAGCAGCGTAGTTATCACCAGCGGCGACGAAAATCCAAGAGCAGGAGCAAGTCGCGAAGCCGCAGACGCTCCACCAGGTCGTCGCGCTCGTCCGAACGCGTGGCGCACAAACGGCGTTCGCGCTCGAGATCGGCCAAGTCGCGCAAGAACTATCGTTCGCGATCCTCGCGTTCCTCCAGTGATCATAGATCCAAGAAGCGTCGCACGCGATCGCGCGATCGAAAACGCGCGAGATCGCGCTCGCGAAGCTATCGACGTTCCAGGTCGGCGTCTCCCGACGATCGCAAGAAGTGGTCGTCGCGATCGCGTTCCCGTAAGAGGAAATCCCGCTCGCGTTCCAGAGACAGGCGAAGGAACAGTCGATCGCGCAGCAAATCGTCGCGCGTAACGGCGAAGCGAAGAGGATCGCGCTCAAGATCGCGTGGAGGCGGCAGGGAGAGATCGCGTACTCGCTCGAGGGATCGCAGGCGATCGAGGTCATATGTTTCCAGGAGAAGTCGACGACGGAGCAGTCGATCCAGATCGCGGGATCGAAATAGAAAGTCGCGATCTAAATCACGACAGTCGAGCCATCGCGATGGTAAGAAGTCGTCACATCGATACAGGAATTGAGCCTGATCTGCTCTCCTAGCCCAAGGTTGTATGAATGTTCATTCTGATTTTAGCTTTAACAGAGAATAATATGAAAACCAAAGTAATATATTCTGTTTTTAATAAGAGTTTGTCACTTATATATTTTGTGTAGACTAACCGACAATTGCTCTCGGGAATTTTTCCTCTTTCTTTCCCGTTTCTTTTTTTCATCGCATCATCGCGCACTGGGCTCTGTATTGATTCATTGGAATGTTTGTGATATTTCTCATGGATTTTCTTATGTATTATAATATCGAGACGCGCGATAGTTATAATTATACTTTATATATATATAAATATACTTTATATATATAATCGATATGGAAGCGTAGTGCGCTTAATTGCAATCTACTATTTGCATATAAAGAAGTTTTTTTTTCTTTTTATTTGCTTCTTTCTATTGATGGATATTTATTTTCTTTGTAATAACGCGACACATAATTAAGAAGATTGATTGAAATTTATATGTAGTCTCGTTTCTTCTTTGTAAAAAAATTTTAAACTGATGAAAAAATTTATTATATTATTAAAACAATTATAAAATACATGATAATATGTTACAAAAAGAAAAATAGAAGAACAGTGAAATTTGCTCAATAATTTTTGAAAATCTAGTGATGAAGATCTAGCAATTAAAATAACAGAATTACTCCAGTCTAAAGATTTTCTATATGTAGCTATGTTATAAGAGATTTATTATTAGATTAGTTGTAAGAAATAAAAATAGCATACATACACACATACATGCGCGCAAAAGACGATTCGAGAGTGGAATAATCAAAATGCATTTAAAATATGACAAATATTTTGCACACATATATTCATTTGAATATCTTCAAGATGACAAGTTGAAGTAAACTAAGGCAATAAAATAATCAACTCAAATATAGTTTTTATTGCATAAAAGATTTCAAGTAAATATTTTATTATTAAATATTTTATTATTAATACAATATGATATTTATATATAAAGAAATGTTTTATTATTAATTGATAAACGCATATTTTGCTCCATTTATTATCAAAACATTTAAGGTTCAAATTTCTTCCTTTATTTCAAGCATTTCTCATTGATACATATTTTGACATAGAACTAGTCAAGTAAGGCTTTCTGCATTACATTTAAACGCGAATATATATAATTAAAATATATAATAAATTGATTACGGGCAATTTTCCCGTAGCAAGATGATGTAGTAATATATGAAAAAAAAAAACAGCGTGCGCGCGCAATTTATCACACTTTCGTTAATAAATGAAAACTGATCATTCCCTGAGAATTAATTAAATAAAAATATAAAAAGTCTTTAAAATACATATAAATAATAGCACAGTTGCGAATGCATATTTCTTTTGACAAGGAAATTAAAAAAGAATATGCCATTTGTATAGAGTAACTATTAAATAAATATTAAATTGTTTAATATAACTATTAAACAATGATTTGTTTTTTCAATGAATGCAATTATTTGTGCGAGAATCTGATAAATTAAAGGATTTTTAATCATATCTAATATTTTAATCATCTTTTGATACTTGATTAAAAAACCTGTAATTTATTAGAAATATCTTTAATATAGTGAATGCTATTTTTGATATTAATAAATAAAATTCACATTAAATTTTGCTGATAGAACAACCGCGAATACGGACATATGTGCATATAGACTTTTATTTATATTTAAAAATAGTTATTATATTTAATATATATGAGCGTTAATTATATTATACATAGTGTGTCGAAAAGCACTCTAATGACATGAGATTTGTATTCAATTGAAATGAGAAATATATTTGATTTCTGATAAAAAAAAGAAGAAACGTCTTTTTAACATAAATTCTAAAGAATATTGTTCTAAAAGTAATGTGACTTGCACAATATATTGTAGACTGAATGTGCGTTAGGATGTTAACACGAATCCTAGAAATTTTATTTTGTTTCAGCATCTTCCACACTGGCTTCCTTGAATCGGCTTCAACGTTTCACTATGATTCAGTTCGTCAACATATAGCCACTATTGTGGTACAGTTACAATTTTTGAATATATCACATTAAATTTTCTCTCAAAAATAGTGTATTATAAATACGTATGATATATAATAAATAGCAATACTTGAGGTATATGGTATTAAATTTGTCTCTAAAATATTATCTTATTAATATATATGACTATGTACATCTTTCCTTCCTAAAAAGGAAGAAATCTCGCTCAAATATATATGAATAATATTCGAACGAACGCGAATATATCAAGATTTATATATGAAAGTCGCGCGAAATAAAATTGGCAATGTATAATCAACTAAAGTAATTGCATTTTTTTCGATGTAATTCCATTAAAGACTGTTATTTGCTCAACGAAATAAGAGTCTAAAAATACTGATTGTCGTTGTATATTGAACGGAAACAATGATGATCCTCATTACTAATCAAGTAATAAAGTGTCCTTCCTTCCTTCAAAAAAATATTTCGGTTTTTTCCTTCGATCTTTTCCTTTTTGGATTCCTTGTTCTTTGTACAATATAAAAAAGGAAGATCAGACGCCTAAAGAGACGACAAAATTCTATCGTCTATATAGTTTCAGTTTCATAGGTAGTTGAGATCATTTCATTATTAATCAATGATGGGCCATCTACAAGATCGTAAATCGGACATGTAATCGATAGAAATCGCTATAAATTTTGAGAATTTTATTTCGCGTCTTACCTTCATGGAATTGAATTCATTTTTTCAATCAGATGATTGTAAGCGAGATCTCGTATGTTTTTACCGTACACGAAATCGAAATGACTCAATGGTTTTACCATAACTGTATACTTCTCTACATTCGGTAACTTTTTACTCAATATCGCAACGTCCTAAAATAATAACGTTACAATCAAATATGACATTGAGGTTTGATGATATTCCAATGATAATTATTTTCTATATGCATTTCTAATGGCAAATTAATTAATGACATGTCTAATTACATTCGGAGCAGCCAGAACATCGCTCAGGCCGTTGAACAATATCACCGGTGTTGTAATCCTTTCTATGGGATATTCTGGCGGTACGAATTGTCTGTATACTAGCATATTCTTTATAATACCGTGATCATAAGGCTGAAAATGACCTGTAAGAGGAAAGTAATTTTTTTATGAGGACACAAGCCGTTTTATTGCGAAGTTATGCGGAAAACCTGTTTTTATGCAATGTATTTTGCAATAAAATCCAATTGCAGAATTAATACCTGGATTTTGAGCACACATCGCATAATGAATTAATTGCTTGAATGAACATCCTGCCGGCGCAAATTGTAAATATTCCACTAGATGCATCTGAAAATATGTAACATTGCAAAATCTATCGTAAATCGCAAATGTCGGAATTACATTTACTCGGACGATACAATATTATACGACGATAGCTTACATGATCCACTTCACCGTGACTAAAACCTCCGATCATGGAAATAACGAACGCACAAATAGGTTCAGTTATAAGGCCTTCTCGACAAAAAGTATATGTTATTGTTTTCTCCATTTCCGAATTTGACAACAATTCGAAAAATCCACTAAACTTATAAAATATCTGCCAAATTGGACAAATGATGAAATTAACATGGACTATAAAATATATTTCGCACAATTTATATTATTTTTTTAAATAAATTTCTTTAGAAAATGTACAGTAAACATATTTTATAGTAATTTTTTCGTAACGAGAAAATAAATTCATTTATAAGTATGTGTAAAGATTTTTCACTTTATTTCGTTTTTATGTAAAAAATAATTATATAATAATAATAATTATAATCTCTTCATATATGTGAAATAAAATACATATTGAAAGAGATCGGTTTGTATTAATTATTTACATTTCTTTAAGTTCTCAAATTTCAGAATGTCTAATACATAAGACTTATTATTCTTACTTTGAAAAAATTTCCGAGGACACTTAGAGGTTTTAATAAGCCGCCCAGGTGTCCCATGTAAGCTACGGGAGCCAAAGCTAACATCAGTTTGATCTTTCTGTTATATTCCGGCTTGAGAGACGCTAGAACCCAGAATTGCGTTGTTCCTTGAGAGAAGCCTATATAAAACAGCTGTTTTTCGCCGGTTTGATTTAATATGTAGTCTATCATAGCGGGTAAATCATAAATACCCATCTCGTGCCAACTAGATAGAATATTAATATTCATAAAAGTAATCATTATTAAAAATTATTTACGAACTTAAAGAACTTCAAATATATTTGCCGAATCGTATTCGCATTCTTAGCACTACGTAAATAAAGTAAATATTGAATTTTAACGTTAAATTTATCGAAGAACGTGAAAGACAATATATTTTGAACTTCGATACCTGAAATCCCAAAATTGACGACTTTCTAAGGAAAGTGTCGTGTGATTTTTCGAATTCGTCGTCCCACGGGAGTTACCGAGCCATACATCGTAACCATCATCAGACAACAGATAAGCTAACGATAAAATAATTTTAAGAATAATTTTTTAATCAATGCGTCCGATGTGTTTATCCTTAAATTTAAAAAACTTATTGATTTTTTTATACCGATTGATCGATTCCGACCCGTTATCACCCAATCCATCGAACAACCCAGCAATCCGTGCATGATTAACACTACTCGTCGATTTTGTGTAGTTTTGTTCAAATTGTTAGGTGGTATTCGATGTACAGCTAATATATATCCATCCCCAGTTGTTACATGATGAAGTTCAAATGGATAGCCGCTCTGTTTCACGAAATCTTCCTAGAAAACGCACTGGATTTACTGATATATAATCTATGATATATAATATATTGACAAGCTAAATTTATTATTTTGACATTAAGAGAATAATGAAAATTCCGCAAATTTATGAACAATTTGTCACGTTATTGAATGATTTTTATAATTTCCGGCTCGGAAAAAATGTTCTCTTGTAAATGATGATAATATAGTGGTAATTTTTTAAAAAAAAAAAGAAAGAAACTAAATTATTTTTCGAGATTCCACTTACGACATATAAATTGGGATCTATCCGCGGCGGGAATATTTGGCGTGTGCGAATCAGACCATTTGTTATAACGATGAATCCGTAGCATAACAACGAGACGAAACACCAATGTGCAGTCATTATCTTGATAGTCTCTTGACAGTCTATCGATAGTTTTGTGTAGTATGCACTTTATACTATTATAAACGTATCATTAAACTATAATATAAACTATTATAAACATATCATTCGCGCGCAACGATTGACGATGTATCGTGAACAGACGAAAATCTATTTAAATAGTAAACGGGCTAACTTTTTCTTTTTAAATATTGTGTGTATCTGTCTTGCCCCAATAAACACATAATATTGTAGCAACATTACTGTAATGTTGTAATTTTGCCGCAACATTGTAATATTGTCGCAATAGTGCTGTAATATTCTGTATTTGCTGGGGCGTGTGATAAATATATTATATAATTAACATAATGTATGCGAGTACACATAAATATCCGCGTAGGATTTAGAATTTCAATCTATGAGCAGTAAACGAAATAAATAATGTCCCCCTTTCAATTGTATATAATCTTCGTTTTCTCATTCTCATTCGTCTTCTCATACAATATCGAAAATTTCAAGGATATCACGATTAAACAAAATTTTAATCATACTTGCTTCCATGAATAGTGACGGTTGACTGATTTCGAAATTTATGATTGCGAATAGTTACAACATAATTAATATATGTATCCTATTTCAAGTATAGATCTACAAATTATTCACAAAATAACATTCTTTACATAATCAAAATTAAATATTTCAGAATATAAATTTCGTTTCTTTTGAAAAAAATACAATGTCTCACACATAGCATGCATATCCAAAATACATCTTTGGGCGATTGGACATCTTCAGGATGTCCTGTGATTGTCTTTTGGACATAGATACTATGAGATAATATATTGTAACACCCATACACATACACACACACACACACACACACACACACACACATAATTAATTACAATTTTATATGTGTATATATATATATATATATATATATATATATATATATAAATATATATATATATATAAAATAAAAAATTCAAATAAATGGAATGTAATTCCTAAAATAATAAACACTTGTTATTTAATTCAAAATACAGCTCTATGTAAAATGTCAATATTTTTTTAAACTCTCGTAATCTTTCCCGCACTATTTATCCTATCCTTTTTCTCTTCTTGAAGAGAATATAATACACTTGAATTGCGAAACAAGACTAAAGTTCGGATAAATTGATTTCTTCTATGGCAACGAGTCATTTCCGTAAAGCTCTCCCTTCTTTTTTTTAACTCCTATCATTGTTAGTCTTTTGTCGCTCACGTATTCGAGGCCGCAATTGTTTTCATTAATGACACGAATTTCCTAAGGTTGAAAATGATATCGAGATGCAAGTAGCAGCTTCGAGCACGTGACGAATGCGCATAACTTTCGATTATAGTAATCCGTATTTCATACTCACACAGATTACAGATTTGTAAAAAATTTCTTGCGGGTCTTCTCGTCTTTCAAGATAATTCTACAAGATTAATTATATCCAATTCGCGATTAAAATTTGTTATTATTTTGGGTAGATTCCAGATATGTCATGCGACATCCAACATTCATAACTTTGACATTTCCACGATAAGTATAAAAAATACAGTGAATGATTAAATGTAAAAAATTTGCGTTACATGTATGCTATATTTGGACACTGTACAAAATCAATTATTGTTTAATCTTGTTTTATATATTCGCCTTTCATTTTTGCATTAATCTATTTTTCTATAATTCTATTTTTAGCCTGAAAAAGAAACTAAAATTTTTTTTTCAATATATGCAAGATTATTGCATTCTGATAAAAGTTCAGATTTTTGTCAATCATCTTTATGTAAAAACAGAGATTTTAAACTACAACAGAATATTTTGCAAAATATACGTAAAGTCTTGCAATTATTTTTATATAAGAACAGAGTATTCAAACTGCTACAGAATAATCAACAAAATAAATATAAATTATTTCATTTTTTTCGAGAAAATCCAAGCGAAGATCTTGTCAAATGTAAGCTATCAAACTATCAAATAGATATTTGCAAATTAATATTTATAATTTAAAATAGATATAGTATTTAAATTATGCTGTTTATATTAACAAAGTTTGCTTTCAGCGATAAATAAATTTCTTCCCCTTTTCAGTCCATTTTCGATCTAATAATTGATAAAATTTCTAGTATCTATAAAATTCGCTTATAGCAACGAAATTAGTTTCGATCCTTATTTGAGTTCGCAGCCAATAAGCATTCTTCAATAGCCAGTTGTTTCATTATTAAGAGCGAAGTTTTCAAACATTACGAGAGGTATTTTAATACTGTATATCTACGATATAAATATTTATATTAGTCCATGACCTAAATCCCCTTCTTAAAACGATTGCAACTACAATAAAAAGTCAAGAAATTGTCACGGTAAATGTAAATGTTAGATTTGCATATATAGGTCGAATTCAATAGTTTGAAATGTCTATTGTTTCGCTCTCAAATAAAAAAGAATTTAAATAGCATAAGCTCTTTATTCCAAAGGATGAATGTGTAAGGATGAGTGGTGAATTGAAAAAGAAAGATGCTCGGAAAGTATAAAGCGTACATAGTCAATTAGTCTTATCTAATTATTAGACGTATCTTTGCATTTGGCATACATTTGTTGTAACCGGAATCATATGTGCATCTAACGTCTTTATAGAATGTACACTCCATCATCTCATTTTTAAGCATAGAGAATACACGTATATACATATATATCATCGTCATTACACATACAACACGTTTGAGAAAAGCGGCAAAGATTCCATTTTTCCTCTAGTTTTTAAATAATTCTATAAAGATAACTACTTTCTGAGAATGTGTTTTACGACTTAGTTCATATAAACAATAAAGTTGAAAATAATTTCAAAATTAGATATAACAATTACACGACATATCTGTGAACACATATACCACAATGTGATATAACGCTATCAATAAAATTGCTTAGTTTATGATATTATACTTTTAATATTGATGTATTATGTACAACCTATATATGTAAATATAGGATGTCTATTATCATGGTCCACACGATTTTATGATAATCTGAAAAAAAAATTGTAAAACAAAACAAACATGGATCAATTATAAACAATTATAGACATAATTTTAGAGACAAAATTTTGTTGCATGCAAACTATAATTTATGATAAAGATTTATGAAGAAGATTTATGATAAAATATAAAAAATCTTTCTTCTCCATAAAATGTTCAAGATTATCTTTATTTTGTTTCTTCATTTTAAGCTGCATTTTTCTCTCTACAAAAATAAAAATATTTGTAAATTTGTCTCAATTTTTCTTACAATATTATGAAAAGGAAATTAATTCTATTTAGAAAATACAAGATGAATTTTATAAAAAAAAGCAGAATTTTGATGTATTTTTATGATCGTAAATTGTAGCTTAAAACAGTTAAGTTGTTTATAATTTTTTCTCATATTATTGCAGCAGTCTTTCTCAGTTTTTTAAAATTGTATGGACCATTACCATAAATCCTGAGTGTTAATTTAGAAGTAAATAAAAAAAATTAAATTTGACAAATTTAATATTTCATGTAGTTGTATGGAGGGTGGCACAGAAAATCCACACGTCTATAAACATGATAAAGGAACGCTATTTGTTTGCAACAATTTATAATTGTTTTTTATTTAAATAAATTTTTAAAAAAATAAATAAAAAAATATATATATATAGATTCGATTTTTAAATCTTTTAAATCTTAAATAATATAGTAAGATATAGAGTTTTGAACTCATAGATAAAGTTTTGAATCACCTTGTATAAAAATAAAAAATGAGCAAATATATAGAAATGCCTCAATCTGAGTTTTTTAAAGTCAATTTTTAGAATCAATTAAAGCTAATTTAACAGATGAGCAATTCTGAAAAATATTTCTGTTGCGCGTATAAGCGCGTCGTTATTACCATCTTCAGCTAATTATGTGCGAAAACTAACAAGATAAGTTTTAACTTCCTAAATTTCATAAAGAGATTATGTATCATAATCCTCATCAATATTGGCAGTGTGAGCAAAGTTCGATGTCGGCTGATTACTTGCGCTTGGATTAACCTCCGTATAAAAATTTGGTTGACTAATTTGAAAGGATGCAGGTATAGATATTTGGAATTCTGGAACCTGCGAGTGTCCTCCTACTGCCCTTTGGTTAATGGGATTATTTGAAATTGCGATCGATCCATTATCTTTTGTACTTTTATGATTTACATTCGATTCATTGCTAATTGGCAATCCCAGTTGTTTTTGATATCTGCAGAGATATGAATTATGATTATGTGAAATATTAAGAGGATCATATCACATATATTGAAACTCACTCTAATGGATCAGATTGCTGTGTTACAGTAGAACATGCAGTAGTTGTGTTTGATAGATTGATCTGTAGTGGAGCAGGAGTATCCGGTGACGTAGGCACCTCATCATCAGGTCCTGATACATCAGGCAGAGACTTCACTAGATCTTTCAAAAAGTCAAATCGGCTCTCGGATAAGATGCACTGTTTCCTATAAAAAGATATTAGAAGATATTTTAGAAAATTCCTTTCTACTATGCTTGTCCAAGTATTTATCTATAAGTAAAATGCTGTCTTCTGTTTATTATTTTGCTCAGGATAAAAAGTAGACAAAAAGAGAGGACAAAAAAATAGTTTTGTGCCAAGATATATAAATAATTCTACAAGAATATATAAACAAATGCACGATTACCTTTATAACAATTAGCTAGACCATTAGAATTTACAGCGATGCAAATATCAGATACATCTGTTTTATTCAACATATTCAAACACAATTGTTTACTCACATGTGAGATGGACTTAGAGTCTTAGCATTTTTGGCACTCGTGATCTGCATGGTCTTCGTTAACAATGAGTGTACAAACAGTTCTAGAGTTCTAGGTAAGCTTTGTTAAGAAAATAAACGTATACAGGTGTTTGTATCCTGAACAATTGCAAGGCCTATATAAATCTATGATAATCTGAAATCTCCTAAAAAAAAAGGGAGGAGACATCAAGAAAGGATATAGATTATGATTGGCACCGCTTGGGCGACCTTCCCGACCTCCTCGTCCGTCTGCATAATCTTCTTGATACGACCCTGACAACAAACACGCGACGATTAGGTTAGGTTATATCAATTCGAATACGCATCGAATATCGTGCTTGATTGTAAATTTCTCCTCGATAACAAATATCCACATCCGATATCGCGTCACCGAGTTAGCGAGTAGATTTAAAATCGACACGATTTCATTTTTCTCTTATCGGTATCGTTCGATTTGTTTCCGCGCGCAAGTATATTCGCTTACCGCTGGGAAACGAGCGTTATATTTTTTCTTTTTGCTGGGCATGCTGTTTTCACGCGGATAGGCTTTCACGAGGACGCGACAAGGTGCGACGACACGGCACGGCACGGCACGGCACGCACGCGACACGCCGCGAATAGCGTAAACAAACGGAACAACAAAAGCTCTCGTGAAAGGGGTCTTCGTGATTCTTCTTCTCTCTCTCCAGTGTATGCATAACGTGAGGGCTGTTCCAAAATCTTACAACGCGGATGCCTTAGGACAGATTTTCACGTGACACTCGGTGCTCATCTAGCGTCAAAAGACGTCACGTGACCAAAATAAAGCTATCAATTCGTCGTTTTTTTCGATCACGTGATGCCTCCTGACGTAAAAATGATAACCGAAGAGAAAATTTGATTGGCTACGTCATTTTGGACGAGTTACGTAACAAGCAAGATACTCTCTTCTTTTACGTCATGTAATTTATGACGAACATTCTGATTATCGAAGCTCCGTCTCTGTTTTTTTTAATGTCTATGAATGGAGAATCATATGTAGTTCGATCCCGCCCAAATATTGCACAGATGATCGCCTTGTAAACAGCAGGTCAAGTGTCAATGGATCAGACTGGTCAGCAATCTTTGATTGTAACTTGTCGTCATATCAAAATGAAGCAACGAACGATACTACTAGTTTGTGTTAGTTGATTCGAAGGAATGCTTTGTAGCTATTAATTGATGTATTAAATTTATAAAAGAATTTCGGCAAAAAAATGGCAAATTTGACTGATAGAATCGTCGTTCTAATCGACATGGATTGCTTCTTCTGTCAAGTTGAGACGAAGCTGCAACCACAGCACGAGGGAAAACCACTCGCTGTCGTTCAATATAATCAATGGGAAATGGGCGGGTAAGAGATATATCTATTTATTATTTAATCACTTATATATGTTTCATTCGAAATAGGCTAGAAGATTTTTCATCATTCATTCTTGATAAAAACAAACTCTCGTCTCTATTGAAAAAGAAATGTCATTAATACTTTATTTTCCAAAAATATATTTACTTCGGAATTAATCTGATTCTTTTTATTTATTCATCATAACTCAATTCAAAAGCGTTTGTGGCAATTTTCTTATACTAGGCTTTATTTTTTTATTAAAAGTAAGTGTGTTTATGGATAAATAATGGTACTTTTGATTGATTACAGTATAATAGCTGTCAATTATCAGGCACGAAGTTTCGGAGTAACCAGACATATGAGAGGCAAGGAAGCTAAAGAAAAATGTCCAGACATAGTTTTAGTTAGTGTGCCATGTCTTCGTGGAAAAGCAGATACATCAAGGTAATAATTTGCTAATGGAATCAATTTCTATATGTGCAATGCAATAATTGTATATATATACATGTATATTAATACATATATAAATTTATATATATTATCTAATTTAACATTTGATGCATTAAACATTTAATAATTTGCGTACAGGTACAGAAAAGCTGGTCGTGAAGTTATTGAAGTCATAAAAAAACACTGTAACATAATAGAACGTGCCAGTGTTGACGAGGCATATCTTGATATTACAGATATTGTAGACAAGAGATTAACTACAACTAATGTTTCTCCAAAAGAATTAATATCATCTCTTGCAAATACATATATTGTAGGTTATTCAGAAATTAATAAAAATGATGAAGGTAACGTGAAAATTATAGTGTGTTAACTCTAAATAAGTCATTTAAATATATTTTAAATTATATATATATATATATATATATATATATATATATATATATATGTGTGTGTATCTAGAAGAGAGATCTCAAGGATTGCAGACTTGGATATCAGACTCTTTTAAAGAATTACATGACACTCATGCTCAGAAACTTGCTGTAGCAGGTGTAATAGTTGAAGAAATTAGAGCTAGCATATATAAAGAAACTAAATTCAGATGTTCTGCTGGAATTGCACAGAATAAAGTATGAATATTTTTACTCTATTTTCTATTTTTTCATATATTACTTTTATTACTTACATATTATTTAACTAAATTTGAAATTTTATAGATATTAGCAAAATTAGCATGTGGATTACATAAGCCGAATTGCCAAACAATTTTACCCAAGACAGCTGTTTCAAGTCTTTTCTCCACATTGCCAGTAAAAAAAGTCCGAAATCTTGGTGGAAAATTTGGTGACATTGTGGTCGAATCTCTTGGTTGCAATGTTATGGGAGATTTAGTGCAATATTCTTTAGAACAATTACAAAAACGATTTGATGAAAAAACAGGGTAAGCCAGAATTTCAGACAAAGAGTCAATAATAATTAATAATTTGTTATTTTTAACAATTTGTAATTGTAATTTTTCAGTTTTTGGCTGTACAATATTGCCCGAGGTATAGATGACGAACCTGTGACTAACAGATTGCTGTCAAAATCTATTGCTGCATGTAAAAAATTTCCTGGAAAGCAAGCTATTACCTCGTTAGAAGTAGTAAGAGATTATTAAATATAAATTCTATAATATTATATGAAAAATATCTCAAAGAGATATCTCAAAGGATATTTCCATTTACAGATTAAATAAGAATTTTTATGCTTATATATTTTAGCTTATATATATTTTAAAAATATACATATATTTTTTATATATAGTTAAAACACTGGGCTAAAGATCTGACTGCGGAGGTTTGCGAACGGCTTGAACAAGATTATGAGGAAAATCAGCGACGCGCTACGCTACTCACTATTTCTTATCATTACTATCAGAACAGAAGTACTGTGTCACAAACACGTTCGCTTGTCTTGAATTCATATAAACCAGATAAAATAGCAAGTCAATGCGTAGACGTTATTACCAAGGCAACACAATGTCCAGTGGCATATATGGGCATTTCTGCTAGTAAATTCGTACCCTCAAAAGAGAGTGATAGCTTTCTAAAATTTTTTAAAAATGTTACGTCGAGAGATAGAAAGAGTGACAAGGCAAGTTCTGAAATTGATAAATCGGGCATTGTATATTCGCCTAGAAATATGATAAATTCCTCATCTCATTTAGAAATAAAAGAAGAAAAGCCATTTACTATTGTTAGTAAAGAAGATTCATTTTTAAAAGCAGAAAGGAAGCTTCAAAAAATTAAAGAATCTCCTATGATCAAAAAATCAGTTACAAGGACTAACGAACGGATAATTAAAACAAGTGAGAAAATCCTTAATAATTCGTTAAATATGAATTCGGAAGATTCTCCTATATCGAAAAGGGTTGTCAAACTGGTTCAGGTGTGCAATGAGCGTGATAAGTTAAAAGATAAACGTCTGTCGGATGTGAAAATAAATAAAAACGATTTTCAAGATTCGTTTTTTATGAATATATATAAAACTGGAAAGCAGGAATATCCTGATAATGAAAGTATGGATGGAAATATCGATGTGAAACAATTAGAATATGATGGGAAACAATCTAGCGTGGATGAAAAAAGCGCAAATAGCATCGATGATTATAATTCCAATTTATGCATTCAAGAGGATGCTCGAGAAAAACCTTCCACAAGTCACGCATATATTCATGTGAGTAATAACGACGCAAATTCTATGAAGAAGAGCAACAAAGAAACTTCCGTCCAAGAGCCCTCGGTACGATTACGAGAGATATTTCCAAATTTGGACGACATAGATCCCGATATTCTGTCATTGTTGCCGACTGATTTGCAAGAGGAAGCAAGATTATATACAAAATCGCGAGACAAGAAGCAAGAGAACGTCAAGATAATTCGAGATTTGCCAAAGACGGGAAGAGGAAGACCCAGCAAATCCAAAATCGTCGGCAAGAATGACAAGAATCGTAATCCTCTGTATAACTTTTTGATTAAAACTGATTCGAGCAAACACGACGTGCCTCTAGAGCGATGCGCCGAATGCGATCAAGTAATACCCATAACAAAATTTGACGAACATGTAGACTTTCACGTCGCGCAAAATTTGTACCGCGAGATCAACAAGCCCATATTGGGTGAGAATGGCGTGAAAAGAAAACTCGGAGACGCCGAAACTGTTGTTTCTTCTGGAAAACGTCCAACATCGAGCGATAACTATGAGACCCGACCGATAACTACATTTCTCTCGTAGTTATATAATATCGCTTATCAAATATTTTATTATTATTCTCGTCATCACTCATATATCACGTGCCTAATACAATTATAGATAAAAATTATAAGATAAGAAGAAAATTTAATATGTATGTATTCTATACAATTGTATATATTAGAAGCTAGAAATATTTGAATTTTCATAAAAGAAATGTCTGAAATAAATTTTTATAGTCATTAAAAACTAATATATTAATACTCTCTTACATATTAAATGTTAAAATTATAATATATTAATTATATATACATATAACAAATCATATTTTAATTGAAAGGCTAATAAATTATATTTATTTCGATTATTTTAAATTATTTTCCGATTCCAATAAATCTCGGATTTTTAACTCTATTTTTTTTTATATGTACGAAAGTGGAATCGAATATTGTTTAAAAAAAGTTCAAGATTTCATGAATATTAAATTATATTAAAGTGATTCATGTTAGGACAGAGTCCATTCCACTCATTCATTTACTCCTCGTGTCTCACGTCATTTATTTTTAATTGACTCGCTCGGTATAGTTGTAATACGTATATAGTGCGCAGAACGTTCTGCGCAGCACATATGATTCTTTGGTTGCGTATGAATCGCATTCTCTTTCCCTTTCCTCTTCCTGACATTACTGATTAACACGTGCTCTCAACTCGTCTGACAAAACCTTTTCAAGTTGTTTCGCACCGATTTTACAGTTAACATCACAAAGGAAGTATTATCATGGCAAAATTAGGTAAAACATTAATGAAAATCGTGTGTAAGAAATCACAAAACAATAAAAAAATAGCATTTAATTTGTGACGCATAGCACAATCGGCAAGTGAAGCAACCAATTTGTGAAATATGAATATGTTGTTCTGGATACTTATCTCGAAATATTTGTTTTTTGTATGAAAAATGTCTCTTTTCATATGTGTCATAGTTGTTACATGTACTAATCATAAATTTTTTGATGAATTTTTATAAGTATTTTCTTTTCTTTTTTCTTTCTCTAGAATATAATGGCATGTCAAGCGACAATGACAGCGGAGATGATTGGGAGGAGATTAATGAGGATCATCATGACATTATGTGTCTGTTTTGTAAAGAAACCATTAGTGAATTTTCCTCTGCATTGGATCACATCGAGACTTTTCACAAGTTTAACTTCTATGATTTTATAAGGAAACATATTCATGATACCTATTCATACATCAAGTTAATTAATTTTATTCGCAATAAGGAAATTTTACCTGAACAATTGAGTATTTTGGGTATAGAAGCTTGGGACAAAGATGAAAATTTACGTCCAGTTCTGGAGGATGATCGATGGTTAATGTACGGTAAATATAAAGAACTTAAAATACAATTTTTCTGTTAATATTATATATATATTATATGCTAACTTGTAACATATTTTAATAAAGATATTGAAGATCTCATCAACATTAAGGATATGAGTGAAGAAAAGAAAACAAAACAAATACACCAAACTAATGATACTGTTACTTTATCAGAAACACAATATGAGGATATGAAAAGAACTATAAGATCACTTCAATCCCAGCTAAAGGACAGCGAAACAACATGTTTCTTAGTCAAGCAGGTATAAATATATAATCATTAAGCATATTTTTATATATAATCATTAAACATTTTTATATATGATTTATATATATATATTATACATGTGATTTAAGATAAATGATTTTTATAGCAAATGGAAGAAATGAAAGAAAAAGCTCACAAATTAATACTAGGAGATGATTTGGATGGAAAGGAAAAAAGTATTCCAGTCAATGCTATCAATCCCAATATTGATAAAGGCTACTTCAATACATACAGTCACTTTGCTATACATCATGAAATGTTAACAGTAAATTTTTAAATAATTCTATCAATCAAATCAAGTTAATCAGAATTTATATATAATCACAACTTAATTATAAACATTTAAAGTTGCAAAATTATGAAAAATAAGAAACTGAAAAATTTTATTCCTAGTTAAAGAAATATTTAAATAAATTAAAAAAAATAAAATATTAATTTTACTTACAAAAACATAATAAAAGAAACATTTTATTTCAGGATAAAGTACGAACAGAAAGTTATCGAGATGCACTACTAACAAATTCTAATAGATTTCAAAATTGTGTAATGTTGGACGTTGGTTGCGGTACTGGTATACTGTCAATGTTTGCAGCCAAATCTGGTTGTCGCAAAGTTATTAGTGTCGATCAGTCTGATGTAATATATCATGCTATGGATATAGTAAGGTACAAATTATTATATTTCATATATATATATATATATATATATATATATATATATATATATAAAGAGATTTATCAAAAATTAGTTTTTATTCTAGAAATTTCATAAAGAGTATATTAATAGAATATATTAATAACAAAATTAATAATAAATTAATTAATAATAAAATTAATTAATTTTAGGGAAAACAATCTCAGTGACACAATTACTTTACAGAAGGGTCGCCTAGAAGATATTAATATAGGAATAGATAAAGTGGATGCAATAATATCCGAATGGATGGGATATTTTCTCTTGTTTGAAGGAATGCTTGACACTGTCATTTATGCAAGGGAACATTATCTAAAACCTGATGGAGTAATTCTTCCAAATAGATGCACAATTAGCATTATGGGAAGCGGTGACACTAGTATGTTACAATTGTACTATTGCCTGCAATAATTAAATATATTTCTTGGCAAAAGAAGTATATTTAAAGGATATAATCTAATTATTTCGAAAACTATTTTGTTTATGCACTATTATTGTTTTGTACAGAGAGATATATCGATTTGGTTGATTATTGGTCAAATGTGTACGGTTTTAAAATGAGCTGCATGAAGGCGGAGGTAGTACGTGAGCCGAGTATAGAGATCTGTAATGTCGATAACTTGATAACGAGCACCGCTGAAATCCAAAGCTTCGACTTGTACAAAGTCACTACGGACTGCGTCAATTTCTCGTCTCCCTTCACGTTGAATGTAAAAAAGACGGGATCGTTAACTGCAATAATTGGTTATTTTGATATTTTCTTCGATCTCGAGAATCCGATACATTTCAGCACAGGCCCTCATTCTACTCCGACACATTGGAAACAGACAGTATTTTCCTTAAGCGAGCCTATTAGCATAACCGAAGGTAAATTACTATACATTTAATTAATTTTTATAATGTGATTAATATATCACCTTTCTCTTATATTTAAATTATAATCCTTTAATTATTATATTTAATTATTATATTCTTATTATATTATTATATTTAATTATTATATTCTTCTTGATCATAGGTGAAGTTTTAACTGGCACATTAATTTGCCGAAGACATTGTAAAGACATCCGAGGCTTAATCGTTACTATACGTATAAAAAACTTCACTCAGGTATATTATTTAGATTAAACATTGAATATTTGTTTACCCGAAATATACGCGTGAACAAATAGCCTTATGTGCCAAACTTGAGAATAGGGGTCCAGCTATCAAATTCCACTAAAAATTACGCAAAGATGCGTAATTAAGCTTTACATCTCTTTCTATACAATTTGAAATTTCTTATCTATAATCTTTTATCTATACATTCTATCTATAATCTCTATTTAGATGCTCAAGCGGAAAAAATAATTTTCACATTTACGCATTTAAAAATTTTGACTCTTAATTTTTATGCTAAAAGCATAAAAATATATATTGCTGCATATAGGTGTGTGTGTGTGTGTGTGTGTGTATACGTGTGCGTGTTTTGTGAGTGCGTGTGTCTTTCTTTCATTGCAAAATATAGAATGCGGCAGTTCTTTTTAAATAATTTGCGGGTGCGAATTAAAATATAATAATTATCTAATAGCTATTTACATTTGTGCCTTTTTAATAGTAGCGATTCGTATCTCTATAAATCAATATTATACATACATTCTTATATAAACTCAATTTTAAGAATTTTTGCATGAACGATAGAGTTTCAATCTTATAGTTGATCTTTCACTGTATAAGCGCATAAAACAAAAAAAAAGCCTATAGAGCTTAGCATACAGACAACGATATATAGTGTTCTCGCTCAAGTTCAATTTTTACTAAATTATTCTAAATATTTATACTATGAATTTCTTCAAAGTTCTCTTGTTGCTGTTACTAATTTTTCTTCGCAATGAAGTTTCATTAATATCTCTTTGACGGAACATTATCGGCAGATATACTTCAATCATCCGATATATTAATATTATGCAAACTCTCCTGCCACACGTTCTTCTTGCATGTGATACGTATGTACAAGGACCGAATTATCGAGCGTACCGAATTATCGGAATATAGCTATCGCTACCGAATTAAAATTGCAATCAAATGATTAATTATACGATTCTGTGATATGAAAAAATTAGCTATAGAATGTTTATCAAGAATAACACCGACATTTTTCGCAGTTATTTATATACAAGGGAGACAGTATGTGTATGTAATAAATAAGGCCTACTTTGCCTCGTATATACGTATACATACAGTTATTCTATAAATACATAATCTTGAAATAGTGCAGAATTTTAATCCGCATGCAATTACCATATAATTATATAACCGATGCTCTTATGAAATGTACGCAAATTGAAATAAAAACTTTAGAATCTTACGAATAAAATATGTAGCATTTTATCTGAACATTTTTTTAATTCATAAAATGCTAATAATATACCAATAATTTAACATTTATTAATAAATTAAAAATTAAAAATTATTAATAAAATATATAAAGTTTTTTTTCAACATTAAAAACTTCCAAATTTATCATACTTTAAAATAAAATAAAATACATTATATATTTAGAAGAGAATTATTGATTTTTTTTTTAAATGAAATAATTATGAGATATATTTAGATAAATAAATAACAGACATGCCAGGAAGATATTTTGTTTTTTACTGTAAAAGATCGATTTCATCAAGTATAGTACATTTGAGACTATCTTACGTTCAAAGCCCCAAACTGCGCGCTATTAGATAAAATCAAGATAAAATCTTAATAATAAAAATAAATAATTAAAATATTTGTCAAACAATTTATGAAGAAAAATGCGTTACATTCTCGGGTATTTCGTATAATTAGACATAATAATTACAAAGAAACGGGGATGCCGTCGGTTAGAAATACGTGGACGGCGTGGACGTTTACCGGTGACGGCACGATGCACCCACTCGTATGTTTGTCGGTGGTAAACTCACCGGGTTCACTCGATATCCCATGGCGCGAATAACGCGCTCGCGAGAGGAGAAGATACCGGCATTGGAAAGCGTGTGGTACCCGTCGTGGCGCGTATGTTTAACGTAACTCTATCCAATAATGCACGTTCTGGCCTGGGGCAACCGAGTGTGCCCCCTTCCGCCGAGCACTCGGCAAACACACATGGAAGGTAGGGCAGAGTCACATATCGTGCTCGCACATACACGCATATGTATATTTGGATAAAAATCCTCTTTTTCTCCCTACATATAAAAGTATTCATTTACATCTGCGTATCTGCGTGAATGTTACGGTATTCATCGAGAAAAAAATCTTGTTTTCTTCTTGAGAGTACTCTTGCATTTTAATCGAAATTTTAATCGCGAGATCTGAATATTTATTGGTGTGAATTTTGTTGATTACTTATCTGATAAGTAATATACCTAAATAAAATAAATCTTTATTGAATTAATCTACACGATTTTTCGAAATATTTTTTGATTGAAAAATTATTGAGAATGTCGCTAAGAAATATTAAAGAGAAACTAGGGCGAGAGAGAATTATTAAAAATTTGAGCTATATCCTTAAAATAAAAAATATAAGAAACAGCAGGGCACAAAAGATATAATATTGTCGTAAAAACATTCTCGTAATAATTTAATGAGTGACAAATTTTCTAAGATAATATTTTTTATTTTCTATCCTCTCTATGATGTTGATTGTTACAAATGCTGTTTTTTGGTATTTTCTATCACTATAAAAAAATTAATTCTAATTTTACAAAATATTTTTAAAATTATTAAAGAAATAAAGTTATAATCTCCCGATTTTTCGTTAAAACTCTAAATATCAAAGTAAAATTGTGAACGCAGAATTATATATTTTTTATATATATTTTGCACATTATAAAATCACATTTTCTGTGGTATTCATTGAAAAAGTATTTTATACACAAACATATGAAATTATAACTAAAAGCTGATAGCTTTTCTCAATAAAACGTTACTTTTTTAATTAACTTTCGTCCGTGGAAAAATCCAGAGGGATGCACATGCGGCTCCTCGTCTGTCTGCCATCAAGAATCGTCGGAGTCCTTGAAGGGTACAGGAGCGAGGCAACTGCAAAGTAATAGCCGTCGTTTAGGACCCGGTGCGGATAAGGAGCGTCAACAGAGGAAGGGGCGAGTGGGACAGGAGGTATAGCGGGACAACGGGGGTGGAAACGAGAGAGCGACCGAGGCCGGGGATAAAGGTGGCTTGTTGCGTAAGCCGATTAGAGCATCACGGCAGTCACTCCTGCCCCGTGCAACGTGGTGGCATATGGTCTCTCTCTCTCTTCCTCTCTCTCTCTCTCTCTCTCTCTCTCTCTCTCTCTCTCTCTCTCTCTCTCTCTCTCTCTCTCTCTCTCTCTCTCTCGGGTTCTACCGAATGTTCACCGAGCAGAGACACATTAAAATCGCATGAAATATGCACGGAGCCACCCTCCACCTCGTTCCGTTCCCTCCATACCAGCGGACAAGAGCACTCGCCTACATCCGCGTAGGCAAAAAGCTTACCCGCTCGTCCTGGAAGCTCGTCTACTATCTCTCCTTCTCCTGATGATGCACAAGAGAAAGCACTAGCGCGTTCCGCTTTTGCGAGATATTTAGGAGATCCCTCTGTCGCGCTTCCGCAACGACGAGGGAAAGGGAACATCTTGCTCCGCCTCTTCCTTCATCGAAAGGTGATCGACGCTGGTGGTGCTGATACGATCGGGAAATGTTTGTATAATAGAATCGAGAGCCTAATATTAGGGAGAATATATATATTTGTCCCAGGTAAAACGATCATTTTTTCATGAGGCGGATACGTAAAATGTGACATATAATTTAATTACGTGTTGCTCCAATTTTGACATTTTCGGCTGATATAATCAATATCAGGCATCTTTGGATTCGCGTGCATTTTCGATTCGAAGAAAAAGATTGTGGATCTAGAACACAGAAACGTAGAAGCACAGAATCCGTCAGTAACTTGGAGTATCAATTTTTCAGAGTCCCAGAAGCTTAAATCCACAGATGCTAAATCCGTTTATATTTTTTTCGCCGGTCGATCTTACTTGGCGCGAGGGAGAGTGTTCCTTTTACTTACTTTAGACGTTAGTAAAATAGGTCGACTGAATTCTTTGACGATTTAGAGATCGCACGACCCCCCCGTACACGGCATTAACTGATGCTCGTACAATTTCGTGAGCGAAAAGCGCAATGCGTATCTAATGTCCGACCGTCCCTCCCGCGCGCAGGTAATCCGAGCGATGCATCACGCGCGGATATTTTCATATATATGTATATAAAATATATATGTACATATGTGTGCATATGTATATATAAACACGTTCCGCGAAACGCATTCTGTACATACTGTGCGCGGTAGCGCAACACGTGGCAAAATGTTTCGCCATCGGTATCAAATAATCATGGCAAATCCGCATCGACCGTGCCGCTCGCTCGCGTTAATGCCTATATTTTACATCCGTCCGTATTTAGTTCGAATAACGTTTGGCGGATAATAATGGACCATTTGCCACTTGTTTTCGTTCGCCCGGCGGAATGATTACGCCGGAATACGCGCGTTGAAATTTTATGCTCCAGAAGCGAGAGAGACAGATTAAAATGGGAGGGCGAGGGAGAGAGGAAGAGAGATTACAGGGCGAATATACGCGAATACGGATTTCCATGTTGCAATATTTCCCCCTCTTCTCCGGTATAATAATATATGTACATGCGTGTGTAAAATTGCGTTTCGAATGCAAAACTGCTAGGGAGAAATCAAAATATAATTATTAATCAATCTCTATGAAAATAGGCCGTAAAGTGTAACGTGCGAATATTAATGATCCTGTTCTCTTTCTCGCTTTCCTGTTGGGAATTTGATTATTACGTGACATTACGTGAACGACGATAATGATCGACGATAACCGATGATTGCGTCAATCGGTTCCTCGTCTTCGAGAGGACCGACGAGAGCGAGCGTCTTCTTGAGCGCACCTCGACAGCCTCTCGTCCAATTATAGCGTGATTGTTCTCGGTCTTGACGGGTCTCACGGGATGTGGATTAACCGCCGTTCAGACCTCCATACAATACACACACATACGCACACACGCGTGATGTTTCGAATTCGAATTGCAACGACAAGAGGAGGCACGTAACATGCGCAGGACACGTCCATCAGCATCGCGGAAATATTTATGGCGATTAATCGCGGACATGCCCGTGGCCCGTTAATTACGTAAGAAGATCAACGGATTACGACGCTGCGCTTTTCGCGAGAAGCGAAGGGAAAAAGGCATCTTCTCGTCGATGTAACCGTCTCGAAAAAATGTCGTTCTTTCTTTTCCCTCCAAAGTTATTATTTGGTGATTTTACAAAGTCGCTTGTAAATCGGTTTTTTTAAATAAATATCTCTTAGAGAAAGATTTTCGTGCTACCTTACTGACAATAAGAATATCGAATTTTAAAATTTGAAAAAAATAAGAATCCGTATATTTATGGATTTTTAATTGATCGATCTGCATGGAATATTAAGTTTCGAGATTTTATATGGAAATAAGGTTTTTTTTGAAGAAAATGATATAAATCATTCTCTCGAATCATAAGTGACATCATGAAAATTATGAATTTCACGAGAAAATTTTCCGTAGAAAATTCCGGAGAAAATATGTTCAATGTCATTTTATATTTAAAGTGAAGAGTACATTATTCTTCATTAAATGTTTTAACTTTCCGCTTAATTTTAAATCAAATTATCTGTCAAAAATTATGACAAAGAGTCTGACCAAAATTGCAAGATACGCAAACTCGTCCAAAATCTTAGATTCTTTTTGTTCGCATTAAAAATAAAGACATTTTAATGAGTGCTAAATTTACATAAAAAAGTTGCTTTATTAAAGTATAATATTTTCTTTTCAAAACAAACCGGTATACATGGTTTACAACTTTATATATACGTATATATGTTTTACAGCTTTGATCAAATGCTAAGATTTATTTAGAGATTTCAAATAAAAATATTTCTTAGTTTCAGTCTTGATAATTGCTCAAAATTTAAATACCATAATAATTAATAAATGCTTAACTGTATATTAAAGATAGATAAAGTTTAGTGAAATTATTTTTTTCTTAAAGTAACATTAGAAGATAAGAATAATAAAAATAATATTATATATTGCATCGGATATAACTCGACAAGACGCTGAATTTTTCGAGATTCTTATAACGAATGAATGAAATTCTTGTCCGATGTCGACCGACATAATCTGCCAGAATCGCGATTAATATTGCAAGACATTTTCAGATATGCACGTTATAGTTGCTCAAAGTTTCAACACTCTGTACGTCTAAATTCCATTTTCAGTTTCGCCGCCTGAATTA